TTTTAGTAATCGCTGGCATAAAACAATCCCCGAAAGGTTTGTGATTTTCGAGTTTTAATTTTGATTCTTCAATTTCATTTTATTCAAACTTTTGTTTCCTTCCGTTTCGTCTGCCGGCAACGCCCCTTGTGACGTCACTCTTGCTCCGCCCACTGGCCCGGGTGTGGCCGTAAGTCAGCGCCTTCTTCCTCTGCGGAGATCTCTGGAACTACCTCATGAGGCCATTGTGAGGTCGGTCACCCGGTTGTTTTGCCAGGGTCACTCACCCTGGGCTGATGTACCCGACAAAGGAGGCTGTGTGCTCCAGCCGGCATCCATCCTTGACACTGCTCCATGATCTGTTGACATATCTTACTGATCCAGCGCTCCCAGCCGTTATCTGTCCTCGGCGTGGGTCCATGAGCTGTTGACAATGTTACTGATCCAGCTGTTACTTGTTGGGGTTCGAATCGTTCATCCTGCGGTAGCTGTCTCCAAAAGCGCGCGTCTTAATGGGAGTTTAACGGCTGCCCATTCTGTGCGGACAGTGATAGATTAGGGGAACTGGGGGGGGGGGGGGGGAATTGGGTGTGGGAAAGCGAGCTAGGCGTGTGGCCGGACTGCGAGGGAGAGGGACTGCCGGACCGAGCCGTGCCGAAAGATACTACGTTAAATGTTCAAGATGTAGCGTGCTACACTATCGAGCACCCTTTGAATTTTAAAAGTCGGTCGGTAGCTTCCCAAGATCTTAGGGGGGGGTGGAGTGGTCCCCCCCCCCTACGGGTGGCCGGGTCCGCCGATAGCCCTATGACCTACGGGGCTCGGACTGCACAGCAGTGCGTAAGGAATCGAAATACGATAAGTTTTTTTTTTTAATTTGGGGGAACTTTTTTGGTGGTATGCCCCCTCCCTCCCCGCAGCGTCCAAGACAGCCTTTTTGCCTCCGCCAAAGGGCTTAAAGAAGGAGCTAGGGAGCTTGGCACACCGGGAGGTTCTCCGCCACGACGGGACGGGACGGTCAAGGTCTAAACCATTGCGGAGCACCAGTCGCTGGTAGACCCTACCAAATATCTTCATCCTATCGTCTCATCCCAGGGTCCTGGCTGGGGTCCTAGAAAGTGTGTCTCGAGTCAGTCACACACTTTCTACGCTACAAACTACCTACAACTACAGACTACAATAGCTACAAGCATAGCATCTGAGTTTTTAGAAGCATCAACGCTGGTCAGATTACCACTTCTAATGATCTAACCTCTGTTCTGCTGCTGTTCTACACGATATAACGATCTGTCTAATCACTGACGATGGGTAGCACTCAGGTTTGAGAGCTCGAACTCAACTCATAGAAGCTCACAAAACCACAGGTTCCGAGCGGAAAGTTTATTTTTATTTTTGCCAAGGATTTTTGCCACTGATCAAAGAATAAGAAGCCAAAATCTATGTAAACAGAAGCTGGCAAAAGTCTAAGAACAGTAACAGAAGTGCACACGTTGGGGTTATCTCGCCACGGAAGCTATCACGAAGTGTAGCCGGCCGTGGAAGGGGTCGCCATCTTCGCAGTGGTTCTTGGATGTCGTTACGGTGGTTCTTGGATGCCGTTACGGTGGTTCTTGGATGTCGTTATGGTGGTTCTTGGATGCCATTACGGCACGGTGATCAGGCAGTAGAAACCGGGACGGGTGATGCTGCTGTCAGATCTGAACTCCACGGCGATGTATGAGCCGTAGTGGTAAAAGGTGCCGGATCCGCAGTACTTGGTACTCCCCAGCCGGAGCCAATCATACTCACAACTGGGGTGCGACTCGACGTCAAAAGGATTGCAGTAGATTTGCATCAGCTGGCCACTGGCTGTTTGGAGGACAAAGGAGAAATAGTCGTTATTGGGATAATTGGAGGGATGGTAGGTTGATGTGAAATAGTACCGACCAGGGTAAAGGACGTAGTAGTACATCTGCCTCAGGTTTGTGGAGTTGGTGGTAGGTTCCGGCAGCGGTTGAGGTTCATCACTCAAACCTCGGGACTCGCCGACTGTAATAGCAGTATCCAGCGAATGGAGCAGCTCCGAATCCGAGGAGGCTGACTTGTCCGAGGCCTTCTCAGCTGGCTTGGCGAGGGCAGCTCCCAGGACAAGGCAGCAGATCGTGAGACGAAACATGTTTAACTCCTAGAAGCTGCTAGACTTCCAGTGGCAGAACTGCTAGACTGCTGCCGTGGTGTCTCCCAGAACCGACTTTATACCTCGGTTACAATGGGACGCTGATTACCACAGGTGGTGGCGGCGTCATCGACATCCTGGTCTGATGGATGTCGATGACAGCTTGCTGCTGCCGGCTTGCTGTTGTATGCGAGGCAGATATAAACGAGTGGTTCAGGAACCAATCTCATGCTGCACCTAACACGTAATAAAGCCATATTTCATGGCATGCAATGCTTCTAGATATTTTGGATGAGTGGTTAAATTTATACCGACATCCGGCACAAGGCAGGCATGTCTGCAGCCCCATGTTCAGGCTGCTGAGAAGAACCTAGAACTGTGCCTTTAGCCATTACTTGGGCAGCGGGTATTTTCATTTTTGACGACTGCTAAGTAGGTAATCCAGGGATATTAACCCGCGCCCGGCTGGGGGTCCTGGATTTCCACGCCCTGCTGGGGGGGGGTGTTTGAATACCCCCCCTTGTAACTCGGCTCCTGGGCCACGTAGCGATATGCGGAAAGCGGCGTTCGAAAGAGCGTCAAAATTAATGACGAAATCACATCGATCAATTTTTTGTTCAGGTCAAAGGTCAGGTCACCAGAGGTCATTGAAGGCAAAATTTCGCCGATTTCCAGGTAAAATGTCGAAAATTTCCAAGAAGCCAACGCATAACTCGGGAACCAATAGAGCTACAGTGCCGCGGAAAAGCGCATACGATAGCCCTATTAACGCCCTTTCTGAGCAATTCTCTCAGATTTGACCTAACGTGAACGGTTTTGCCTGCAGGGGGCAAAAACTGCAAAAATAGCCGTTTTCTTCGGAAACAGTTTTTCTGCAATAACTTTTGACCCAAACCTTGTACGAGCTTACTTTCACCGGCATCGTGTTCCTCTCGTCAAGACGCATCGAATTAACTATAACTTGACCTTGAAAGGTCAACTTGAAAATTTGACCTCAGGTCAAGGTCATGACCTGAAGGTCATGACCTGACCGGGAAGGGTCATGTTGCATATCAGTTCAGTCGATCCGTATCGTCGAGCTGAACACATCTAAGGCGTTTTCATCGCTCTAGCATGCCTCTATCAAAAGTTATTTGTGAAAAACTGTTCAGATACCATTCGTGACCTAAGATGACCTCAGGGCATAAACAAGGGTCACGGACACCATTTTCATGTTCAGTGTGTCTAAACCACTTGTATTTCGGTGTTTGGGAGTGTTTATAATGTCTTTCGTCCAAAAGAGGCGCATTTCAATTTTCTCCCATTGACTTATAATGGGGAGGTCGCAAAATTGACCTGACCTTAGGTCATCGATATCAAAATTCTGAGATATACATTTTGTACATGCTATTGCTCTTAGCAATCGCTGAAAGTTTCAAAGCGATCGGTCACTCGGTGTAGCCGTTTTTGAGATATTCGCGAAAAACCACAAGGGGGGTGCTCAAACACCCCCCCCCCCCCAGCAGGGCGCGGGTTAAAGGGTCAAAATCTATTCACTGCTTCCGTTTCGATGTTTATTTTGGGGTGAGTTCTATTTTATTTTCTCCATTTGTTCGTCTTAACCTTGGTCTTAACCACGTCGGAACAATGGGACGATAGGATAAGGCAGAGAGACGTCAGACGTCACTCGTCAGACGATCACCAACGGACGCACTTCGTCAATGGCTGAGTCTTTCTGTTGCGGGGCGCGAATGTCCCGGCGTAACAAGTCCCCTAACTGCTCAAACGGTCATATCGTGGGGGCCGTACAGGAGCGCAGTCTAGCTCAGAAAATGACCCACCGGTTGCCTGTTGGTCATTTTCCAACCGGCCAACCGCCCGACGGCTCGTTGGCCGTCGGCCGGCGGATCTGTGAAGCACATAACCAAGGTTTGGTGAGTTTAGCCGGTCAACTGTCTCATCTCTCGTCGATGACGGCTACAGGGCTGGACGAGATATAGCTGGAAAATAGTAACATGCCTTGCTGTAGCTATCATGGACGAGTCACCGCTATAGGGGAAGGTGGGGTAATGCGGGGTATCTAAGAAATGTCTGAAGCCATGATGAACAGAAACATGCTATTGAACGAGACGTTCAAGTAAATTGACAAGTAGACCGGATCCAACGCACACGTAAAGACGGCTCAAAAAAGTCCCGTGCAACTGTTAATTTCAAGTCAGTAGTCACCAATAAGTGAAGCGGCCTTCGGTGCCCTCGTCTCCAAGGAGGTTGGTGACCTTGTCGGCGGCTGCTCTCTGCTGGTGTTCGGGATGGCCTGGTTTCTATCCAGCGAACGGTGGCGTCATATTGTGGGCGTGGCTCTGACCGTATTCGCGCCAGCTGGGGCGGGTCAGTCGAGTGAAAGGAGTTGACTCAGCTTGGGTGCTAAAAAGACGTTCTGGTGAGACATCCAAGGCTCGTTGGTCTAGGGGTATGATTCTCGCTTAGGGTGCGAGAGGTCCCGGGTTCAAATCCCGGACGAGCCCTGCCTTTAGAGCATTAAGGTTCAGTTATAGCGTTGTAGGCGGTGACTCTTGTCAATTGTCATCTCAGAAAAGCCCCGCCCGAATAGCCGGACGCGGGTAGTCGGCGGATGGCCTTTGCTGACCTGGCCTGACGTGAGCTGACCTGAACCACCCCGCCTCAAATTTATGAATACACAACCTTTAATCAGAGCTAATGTGAAATTCGAAATCATCATCCCAATTACCAGAAGCCCCAAGAACGACGTACCCTCCTTTCTAGCTGTGCCCGGCATTCCCTTTACCGTATCAGCTAAAAAACTTCATATGGAAGCTTCTTCATAGGAATCTGGTTGCATGTTTGATAAACTCATGCCTGCGCACATGTTTCAATCAGAGCACACACGTCAACAAAGTTTTGCTTTATTTCAGTGCCTTGATTTCAGTCAATGAGTCAAGTTTTCATTTTTCATTTTCACCCTTGTGTGTGAGTTGGACGAAAGAGCCAAGCCGCTACGCGCCCTAACCCAAAACAACAACAACAACAACCTTGTGTGTGAGGTAGGTAGGTGGCCATTAAAGGGACCCTCCCACCTTCAAAAAAGTTTATGAATTGGCATGAAAGTGATGTCGCTGGGTTCAGAAAGAGCGAAAACTAATATCTACCAAATTTCATCGAAAAATATTCACCGGTTTTCAAGATATTAGACTTTTACTTTTGTTTACTTTTTTGGGATCTCCGCTGTTTCTAGCGACCTTATTTTAGAAGTGCGGCGTTTGCGGCAGATGTTGCGCGCAAATAGCATATACCACCGCGTGCTACAAAACGTTTTAGTCAAACATTTAAAAATCGTTAGATATCTGCGCTGACGTCACACATTCAGAGGGGTATTCCTAAGCATTAGCCCCTCTGAATCAAAATGCTGCAATTTTGAAATTCAATATTTCCGATTTAAGGCATTTCTCGATGTTGTGAGTGCCGAAACCGGTAATTGTGAGCCAGGGACCCCATTTTGGCTATCTCAACTCAAATCTAATGTTAAGGTGGGAGGGTCCCTTTAATGGCAATAATCAATGGCAATAATCGCCAATAATTAGCGATTATTGCCATTGGCTGGGACTGGGACTGGAGGATGACAGGAGTGATAGGTACTCTTTTCTTTTCCTGTTTGTGTTCCTCACAACTCAGGGACGACGGTGAAAACGGGCCTGGGGCGATTTGATCAAGGCTCGTGAAATTCACATGTGACGTTTAGCATGTAAAAGACCCACGGAAGGGAAGAAGTTCCAATACCGAAGTTCCAAATGTCACGTGATTAATATGCCCTCGGGTGCCCTGTTTTCACTGGCGTCCCAACTCAGTTGGGGAATCTATGAGGTGCCGAACTAAAATTTGATCAGCCAATCAACTGCTGGAGTGGGCGGGGCGATGACATAACTCATAAAATAGGTAAATCATAAAATCATATGGTCATAAAATCAGGAAACTTCATCTTTTCCATGCATCCTAGCATTTCAATGAAAAAATAAGGCATAAGAATGTTTTTTTTTTAAACCACACAAGGTGAAGTTTCACAGTTCACACTCCGCTGACAAGCTAAGTTCCCTATCATTTATCAGTTATCACTGTTATGCCTATTGCCTGCTATGGATGTCAGGAAATACAAGCTCAGCAATTAGTATCCTCGCATCAAGCAACATTTAACACACAATAGAAGAACACCTCCTTTCACTTTTTAGTTCACCATTGTCTGAACATCCATAAGGGAAATTTGTGTGACCATATTCATAAGCTGGTAATTTCTTTTTCCTTAGGACAGGGACAAATTAATTCCATGACACATTCTATTGCAAATCATCATCAATAGCCTCTGACCTCGAAGCTCTGACCCGGCAGAACCCGGCGAGGCTGTAGCCGCAGCCTCCCGCTCCTCTGCCACTGTGGATCTGGATCTGGAACGGACGCCCAGTCGGCAGGCCTCCGAGACTGCTATGCAGGACTGGAGGAACGCCATCTTTAACCCACCGCCGTCAGCCTCGTTCACATATAAAATGGGTGAGTGTGGGGTGCTGGGCCTGGGTGGGCTTTGAAGTAATGTTAACTTGACTAGTAGTGTTGTGTATAGGTTTGTCAATGTAGCATCCTGTTGTGACTTGTGATCTACTGTGTGATACATTGCTGTACTGTGCTCTAAGTGATGTAGGTGATTTGCTTTGAGTTTTTGTTTTTGGCTGTTTTTTTCAATCATTCCTACCTCCATTCAATATGTAAATGGACTATGGAATTTGTAAAACGGAGAACATGAGATATTTGGACCACTAAGACAAACGTAATTCCGCAAAGATACCGGCCGATCGTACTAACGCCTTAGTACTGACATCGGATTTGTGACCTGCCCTGCCATCTGGTGCTGCCCGCAGGTAACTCGACGGTGCGACTGCAGAGCCGCCTGGTGGTGGCGCTGGGAATTATCGGCGGTATCGTGGTGCTGTATCTTATGCTCCAGCGCAGCTCTGGTGGAATGACTGTCGCTCAAACTGTCTGGGGCAAGTCGGCTCAGACTAGGTGAGGGAATGGTTTATATGATTGATAAGCACCAGGTCAAGAGGGTAGAATACTGGTCATAGAAATGGTAGCAGTATCACATTGTCGATGTACAATCGATATCGATGTACAATGATGCATGAGCAGTATCGATACACTAGTTGGAACTATGGTTAGCGATGTCATTTATCAGTGTAGAAAAGGTTGAGGTTTGGTGAAAAATATCGATGCTCCAGGGCTGCGGGATGTCACGCAGTAAAGTACATATATCTATACGAAACAGGTGGCTGGGAATGATCTAAAGGAGTACTTAAGAATGGTTCCAACTTGTAACTCTGTTTTGCACTATGATTCCGCTCACTCCCCTTGACTCTGAGCACCAGTAGGAATTCTGCACAACTCTCCCTCTCCATTTCAGGTGTAACAGCAGCTACCCCCTCTCACGCCCGCTCCCGGGCCGGGGCGGCGTGGGCTCCCGTTACCGTATCGCCGTCATCACCGACCTAGACCAGGCCTCGCGCCGGGAGGCGAGCTGGATCAGTCTCCTGCGACACGGGTGGTTGGAGTGGCATCACCGTCACGACGGGCGACCCCCGGCAGCGGAGCTGACCTGGGATGAAGAGGATGTGACGGTGAAGTCGTCACTGGCAAATGTGAGTTGTCTGGGGGGGGGGGGGGGATAGAAACCGAGGGAATGGTGTTGGAAGGAGAAAATCCATAAATGAGGAAAGTGTAACCAATCCGTTGCTGAAAATGCAAGGTGTGGTTGGTGTGAGGATCAACCACATTTGGCTGATTTTAGTAAAACAGTAAGAAGAAATCAAATAACTTGTGTTTTACCAGAAAGTTAGTCTCATTTAATCGTGTTTGTGTTGATTCTGGATTGAATTAGATATTGCATGAAAATAGGAAGATGAGTATGGTGTATCTGTGTCAATTGAAACACTATCAATTATGATTCTCCTAACTTAAAAGCCTGTTCAGGGTGTCATTTTTATCTTCAACCCTCCTCATCTCATTGATCCAACGCCCAGCAACGCCCTCTGACCGCCAGGTAGGTCGTATGTACCATGAACCACCCTAGTACAGTAGTACACCCTCTGTGATCTGAACCCGTGTTGGTTTATCAAGTTAACCGTCGCACGACCAGGCCATTTCTCATAACACGAACGACCAGGGGGGGGGGGGGTTGTTACGACCCCCCCCCCCTGGCGTTTCGAAACGGAAGGTCGTAGAGCTTAGCGGAAAAAACCAACGGATTGCTCTCAACGAGATCTCGCGATTGGTGGTATATTTTTTGGTCCTAGGTCAACATTTGACCTACTTTTGACCGGTCAAAGGTCAAATTTTCGGAAAAATAGACTTTTTTCAACTTTCGGCGGCGATTGCGGCAAAACGGTGGGAGATATCGACTTGAAACCTTCACTATCGTGTTCCTTGATCAATTTTCTATCGTTTGGTATGTATTTCGTTCCCCTAGCTCTAAAAATGGCGCGTTGGGAGCGCCGGAAGTCGGCAAGGTCACAGTCGGCGGCAGAAATTTGAAAAATCAAAATTTAAATTTTTGAAATCTGATTGTATTTTTGGATTTGGGAGGTCCATTTGCTCCCTATAGAAGCTAATATTGCTGCATATTCCCATTGAGGTGACAAGAATTAGCAAAATAGTGGTTCGGGCGCTTTTCAAAAATAGTACCGGACGCTGTTCCTCTTGTGACGTCATAGCTCCGTGACCTGACCTGACCCGGTCAAATTTCTTATACCATATGATAGCCAATACTTGCCCCAACATGCATGGGAAGTTTCATCACGATCCATCAACCGATGTCCGTACCACCGGCAGGAAACCTCGGGCGTTGGCACTCAGTTTGTGAAAATCCGGCCGGAGGCTGTACCTCTTATGACGTCATAACTCCGTGACCTGACATGACCCGATCAATTTTTTTCGGCAAAAGATGCGCAAAGGTTGCCCCACAGAGTATTGAAAATTTCAGCCCGCTACGACAAGCCGTTTAGCGTGCACTTCGAAAAAACCTCAGGGGGGGGGGGGTTGATACAACCCCCCCTAGGCGTTCTAGGGTTAAGGTAGATTGTGCGTTTTAACAATCTTGCTGACATATTGAAGTTTCTATTGCAGAAATAGGGATAGATAATGCTGCGTTTGCATGATTTCTGCTCGTGAAAATTTTACGTGGCTGCTATGCATTGGGTCACCTAAATCGAAATCTATATCACAACAGAAAACATAGTTTTGGCGTGTGTATTGTTATTTATTGTTATTGCAAAAGTTAGCATTACTTTTGCCTGAGCAGTGAGCAGGATATTATCCCGCGCCCTGCTGGGGGTCCTGGATTTCCACGCCCTGCTGGGGGGGGTGTTTGAACACCCCCCCCCCCTTGTAACTCGGCTCCTGGGCCACGTAGCGATACGCGGAAGGCGGCGTTCGAAAGAGCGTAAAAAATAATGACGAAATCACTTCGGTCAATTTTTTGGTCAGGTCAAAGGTCAGGTCACCAGAGGTCATTGAAGGCAAAATTTCGCCGATTTCCAGGTCGAATGTCGAAAATTTTCAAGAAGCCAACGCATAACTCGGGAACCAATAGAGCTACAGCGCCGCGGAGAAGCGCATTCGATAGCCCTATTAACGCCCTTTCTGAGTAATTCTCTCAGATTTGACCTAACGTCAACGGTTTTGCCTGCAGGGGGCAAAAACTGCAAAAATAGCCGATTTTTTCGAAAACAGTTTTTCTGCAATAACTTTTGACCCAAGCCTTGTACGAGCTTACTTTTACCGGCATCGTGTTCCTCTCGTCAAGACGCATCGAATGAACTATAACTTGACCTTGAAAGGTCAACTTGAAAATTTGACCTCAGGTCAAGGTCATGACCTGACCGGAAAGGGTCATGTTGCATATCAGTCGATCCGTATCGTCGAGCTGAACACATCTAAGGTGTTTTCATCGCTCTAGCATGCCTCTATCAAAATTTATTTGCGAAAAACTGTTAGATACCATTCGTGACCTAAGATGACCTCAGGGCATAAACAAGGGTCACGGACACCATTTTCAAGTTCAGTGTGTCTAAACCACATGTAATTCGGTGTTTGGGAGTGTTTATAATGTCTTTCATCCAAAAGAGGCGCATTTCAATTTTCTCCCATTGACTTATAATGGGGAGGTCGCAAAATTGACCTGACCTTAGGTCATCGATATCAAAATTCTGAGATATACATTTTGTACATGCTATTGCTCTTAGCAATCGCTGAAAGTTTCAAAGCGATCGGTCACTCGGTGTAGCTATGACAGACATTGAAAGTTTTTATGAGGTGAGGTCACTTCAAGTGACCTGGTGACCTGACCTTGAATGACCTTGGTCTGAAATTTTCACAACATGTGTAGAATTGATGTATGATAAGGTGTACCAAAAACGGCGGCGCTCCGCGCCGCCGTTTTTGAGATATTCGCGAAAAACCACAAGGGGGGGTGTTCAAACACCCCCCCCCCAGCAGGGCGCGGGTTATGATGCGGTCTGATTTTTCTTTTCTCATCTCCTGACCTCCACAGAAGCTTGTCGCAGCCCCACATTGAACACCCTCTGACATTTAACCCTCTACCACCCAGGGTGGTCGCGCCATGGAGCTCTCCGAGCTGGTCTCGTTCGGCGGACACCTACTTTCTGTTGACGACCGTACCGGGGTGGTGTACCAGCTCACCAATGGAAAGGCCGTACCCTGGCTGATTCTGGCAGACGGGGATGGTCAAGTCGCCAAAGGATTTAAAGGTGTGTGGGTTAGCTGTAACCTCAGCTGCTTCAGAGAGTGATGACATGCTGGGATTGAGTTTGAGTTTATCTGCTTCATTTTCTGAAGGCGTAAAGAAGACAAATCGAAAGAGGGGCTTAATGTGTTTGGCGATTGTAGAACTTCGTGTTTTTGGGTCCTAATTAAACATATTTTCCCCTTACACGACGTTTGTATGTGATATCCATTGAAATACTTTTGTAGAATGACCTTGACCTTTGACACATTGGCCTTTGTATAATGACCTTTGGTCTGTCACCCCCAGGCGAGTGGATGACGGTCAAGGACAACCATCTCTACATTGGTGGTCTGGGAAAGGAGTGGACTACAGGTCAGTAGAGACTGCACACCCGACCGACTGATAGGATATGGTAACCGTCAGTTACAGTTGCGCTTGTTGGAGAAAGGAAATGGTAGAATCCTCCTTGTGTGGTGATGGGTGAGCTATCCAGTGTTGGTAATGGGAATAACATGCCGTGGCTCTTAAAATGCGCAATGATTCTCGAGGAATGAGGATAGTAATTTGGATTGGATTTATAAGGATTTGTACACTCCGATGACACATTATTTTATAAAAGCACATATCGATGACACATTAGACACTACCACTCATATTCCGTCAGTGCTTTGGTTTTGCACCAAATATTTCGCCCCATGGAACCTCGAAGTCGCTTGGGGCTAGCTTTCTCCCATCCTCGATGAGCTGGCCAAACACGCTGGATTTTGATGAAGAAGCCGGTGGAGCTACTTCGCCGTCTACGGCTGAGTCAGACTCTTCTGCCGGGCCAGACGTGCGTCCTTCGACGCACCCGAGGTGATGGGGACCAGCTTCAGGAGGGGCTGTGGCGAGGATAGCGGCGGAGTTTCCCCGGATGATCGCTATCGAGACTCTTTGCAGAAGCCAGGACACTTCTCTGGGGTCCTTCTTTGTACACTTATTATTGTATTTAGATGGGAAACCCCAGAGTGACTATACCTGTACTTGCCTGGTATGTACACGTATGTACTTGACAGCTATGTACTTGCCTTCCGACTAAAATTGTTAACCCCCTAACTTCCTTCCCTCCGATTACAGAGACGGGCGAGGTACTCAACCACAACCCCCAGTTCGTCAAACGGGTCACCTGTGACGGACGGGTGGAGCACATAGACTGGAGGCCGGCCTACCAGGCCCTGGTGGCAGCGGCCGGTCTCACGCCGCCCGGGTATCTGATACACGAGGCCGCCGTGTGGAGTCATGCCAGGACAGAGTGGTGAGTGGTGGAGAGAGGGAGAGAGGGAGAGAGAGAGAGAGAGAGAGAGAGAGGGGGAGAGACAGACAGAGGCAGAGAGACAGACAGACAGACAGACAGACAGACAGACAGACAGACAGAGAGACAGAGAGACAGAGAGAGAGAGAGTCACGCCAGGACAGAGTGGTGAGTGGTGGGGAGAGAGGGAGGGAGAGAGAGAGAGAGAGTCACGCCCGGACAGAGAGAGGGAGGGAAAGTGAGTGAGTGAGTGAGTGAGTGAGTGAGTGAGTGAGTGAGTGAGTGAGTGAGTGAGTGAGTGAGTGAGTGAGTGAGTGAGTGAGTGAGTGAGTGAGTGAGTGAGAGAGAGAGAGAGAGAGAGAGAGAGAGAGAGAGAGAGAGAGAGAGAGAGAGAGAGAGAGAGAGAGAGAGAGAGAGAGAGAGAGAGAGAGGGAGAGAGAGAGACGCGCCAGGACAGAGTGGTGAGTGTGCCGGGTAGAGGGGGAGAGGGGGGGGGGGTGGATTAGAGGCCAGGTAAGAGGTGTGTTATAAGCGGGAAATGAGTCGGTTTGTGGACCTCCATTGGTTTAGTCACAGGTTTAGTGAACGAGGTTTTGTGGTGACATCTGTATGCTGTTTGACTGCAGCGTCCAGAGATGTCGCTACTCGCTAGTTATCATGGCACAAATGTTAACAATCGAGCAGGAATACTACAAGTGACTGCTGTGTTTCAAAATTCAAATCCTTAACATGACAATGGTGAATAACATTGAAGCCCGATCTCGCAAAAAGTACACCCACTGTTATCTGGTTAGGAGGCCACTTTTTTCTCCAGTCGTCTGTATCATCATCTTTTGATCAGTAGGTATATCGTTTGTTTTCCTTGAAAGGCTAAGCAGTTATTTAACATTTACTTGGACATGTGCGTTAAAAGTGTGCAACCAGTTCTATGTTATAAGTTCAAACGAAATTAACCCGGCGGCCGCTGGGCCTCCGCGCCACCCGCCAGCCGCTGGGGGGGGGGGGGGGGGGCATAAAGTTGCCCCCCCCCCTTTACTTCTGCGACGATATCGTCGCAACGCGAAGAGATAGAGAAGCGAAACTTTGCACACATCTTCCTGAATACCTAGCCGAGGTTGTGTCTAAATTTGGTGTCGATCCCATTTGAAATGACGTCACAGTGACGTCATAAGTGAAATTATAGATTTGCGACTCTCATATTCCTCACGATACAGCACATATATGGGACCGAATATAAAGGGCCGATTATTGGTCAGAAACTAGATGGAAGTGTAGTAAGATGTTTTAGGATGACAGCAGGTGCTGTCTAGTTCATTTACAGTCGAGTTTCATGCTCAGCGTCATCAGAAACGGTCCATATCGGAAAACGACAAAACTTTATGACGTCACTGTGACGTCATCTTAGGTGCTACAACCACCAAACTTTCCTCAAACATTGCCTAGGTATTCATTTGAAGCTATACCAAGTTTCACGTTCGTAGCTCATCAGGTTTCGGATATATTTCACAAAACGTAAAGGGGGGGAAACTTTATGCCCCCCCCCCCCCAGCGGCTCGTGGGTTAATTGAAGGCATGGAACGAACTATTTATGAAAATTTAAACAAAACGCATGAAAACGATTCCGGTGTCTTTACGTTACACCCTGAGCACCTTCTAGACAAATTACCATAGTTTATGATGTCAGTCCTTTATGACCTCCTGGCTGGCTGCATAGGCGGCGGAACGGGGAGGGCACCGGGGCACCGTGCCCCCCTTTGATTTTGGCATTTTAACATTAGCCCTATGGGCGTCACATGGAAAGAATGGGACCAAAAGTCGACAGTGCCCCCCCCCCTTAATTGAAAGTGTTCCGCCGCTACTGGCTGGCTGAGTGACGTCAGTCAGACATTCAAAACTATTGATGTTCATGTCGTATCGAACCAGACACGTCCAAATCAATCATTTCTTTTCATCGTCCATCCAAGTCTAAACACCGATGTCTGGTTTTTATTCATGTATTTTCGTCACATGGCCAAGGGTTTGTACAATGCACATGAAAACTGTCAGTCGTTGTCTATCTATGAACAAAGCGTGCAACATGTGACGATGTTTGTTTCCGATTCAGTGCACTCAAACAACGAAGCGTTTGACGTGACCCATTGTTAAATGCACACAAAACACTGCAAAATCAACCTCTATGGAAAGCTTCTTGGAGGTAAGCTATGGAAAAGCTCCTCTATGGAAAGCTCCTCGTCTGGTCTTGGCTGGTTGCTAAAGGTCATGTACGCTGATAACAATTTCGATACACATTCTTAAGCATAAGACTGAGTTTCTAGAATACATCAATGGGCCGAAGAGAGCAACGATAACATTGAGCCGAGTGCTTTATCGGGTAAGCATCATACGTTTCAAGGCATCTGACACTGTGGTTTAGGATTTCATGGAAAGGCGGCGCATTACTTTCTGGCGGACTGCCAAGCTACTGTGCTTGTGAGCTGTGCACCGTTGGCTCATAGAAATGACTTCATTGCAGGGTGACAGAAGCCTGGCAACAGTGAGGTTGCGGTGCTACGATTACCTGTGCAATACACACGAATACACGTCATCAAAAGCGGCGCGTTACGCGGCGTAATCATAATCCATAATTCATGAATTTCCGCTATTGTCACACAAGGAAACACTAAGCATCGCTTAAGAAGCACAGAAGCTGAACGTGCTAAACTTTTTATTCAAGGCACGACTATGAAGTTAGGCAGTCAGTCAACGATAACATACTGTCGCAATTAATTGCAATCACCCTCGCCATGGCGCCCTTTTCGATTTCGGCACCATCATAAACATCAAATGGGCTTGTCGGAGAGGGTTTTCGGTTCCTTCTAATCGATTGGCAGTTAGCATCAAGGGCACACCCCTTGGAAGTTTTCCACTCTTTGAGATTCTCATCGAGACCCGCTGCGTTGGCTAGGACGTATGTAACTGCGGAAATGATTTCTTTCTCTTCCCACACTGATCTTTTTTACTGACGCTTTTCACCAAAACACACCAATAACGCGTCGCACTTTTCTGTTCATTCCACCACTCAATCGCTGGGACTTCCCCACACCAGCGACACCATTCCCTCCACTTCAACTCGACACCCACCATCGTCTAGCCGAGGACTCGCGCGGCAGCAGCAGTGACCGCCACGAGCACCAGCGAGGCCACCATCTGACCAGAACCATTGAGGCAGTCGGTCATCTGCTGATGCACCTGGGCACTCATCTGGCAAAGGCGCTGCTTCTTGCACGTCGCGTTGCAAGCGGGCGCATCGCCATGCAGCCCGTCGTTGAAATTCCAGTACTTGCGGAACTTGTTGTCATCTTCCTTGATCTCTTTGAAGAGGAGATGCATGGAGCGTGTGTTGGCGTCAGGGAGACCGTACGCATCGCGAAGGCGATACGTAACGTTCCAGAACTTGGAGTCATCCACGCTGGTGGGGTTTTCGCGATGGGCCTTGTTGGCAGCGTCGAGGTTGAAGTGGAACTGGACGTAGTCATTGAGCTTGTCCGGAAGAAGAGCGTACAGTCGAACGCTTGGGTTGATGCGCTGGTCAAGTGTGCCAGGCATCAGCGCAGGAGCCATGAAGTAGGTGTTGAGCGCGTACGTGTGCTTCTCAAACGGCAAGTCGGTGCGATAGACGTTCTGGAAGGTGTCGATGTGCTCGTGGCCGAAGATGTTAGCGATGCGCTGCTCCAGGGTACCGACACGGTTCAGCTCCTTGTGCAGCTTGTAGTTGTAGTTGGTGTAGAGGTTCGGTGTGTAGATACTCCAGTGCGGGAAGCCGGGAGACAGATGCGCGGTGACGATGGTCGGTTTTCTCGTCTTCAGTTCCTCCGCCAGCCAGGCAATCTGACCGGTGGGGTCGTCTCCCGCCTCGCTAACTTTCTTGTTGCGGGTGTAGTAAAGCGCAGTGTTCAGCACGATGACGCGATACTCGCCCACATCCACGGCATAGAAACCTCCGCGACGGAAGGTGCGGCGGGCTTCCTCTGGAAGCAGCTCTCCCCAACCGCTTCGCTCGAGATACTCCTGATAATACGTGCCGTTGTCGTCAGGAAACTGATCACTCGGATACGCATCGTGGTTCCCAATCGCCGGAAGAATCTGCGCATCGGGGAACGCGTTTCGCAGCATCGAGCTCACACGTCGCAGCTTCGGAAACACTTCCGACCAGTCTGTGTAGGGCCAGTGTGGAGCCGTATCACCCGTCCAGAGGATCGCCTCGGGGCTTCCTATGTGACGTTTCATGAAGTCCACGGCCGACTCCACTGTGCGCCACGGAAGGCCGCAGCCGATTTGGCCGAACCACTCCTCTCGCGCCGCGCCGGTCGTGTCGGAGTGACACCAGGCCTTCGGGTCGGCAGTGGCAGTGTAGTCGCCGTCGACGTGAACGTCAGAGAGCTGCCAGAAGTATTTGACGGCCTCGGCAGTTGGTGTGGTGAGGCAGAGAAGCACGCACAGTGGTGCCAGGTGGCTGTGGAAGGAGAAAAATAACGTTAGAGATTCTGCGTCAGATTAATAATATTTAATTTTTCGTGTTCGAGTTGATCCGTCTGAATGTACGGTGGGCAACGCAAGCTCTCTATCGTCTAACCATAAACAGACTACATGAACTCGGGGTAACATAGGTGCGTCATTGTCACTACAATAAGTGACAACATCAGCCCGGCTTTTTTGCAACAAAAAGGGGAGCGTTGAGGCATGGAAATGGCACAGCAAATAGCTCATACCAGTTTTCCCCTTCCGCTTCATTTACTAGGCTAGGGTTCTGGCCGAAAGGCAACGCGTCCATTATCCGTTTCGTCAATGCGGCAATGCATTGAATGGCAACTTTATCATTGGGGTATGCGGAATGGGTTTGGTTCAAAACACACCAGTAAAAGGAGTGATACAGCGTTCCGGGATCACTTGAAAAGGTGTTTTGTTTAGCCTGATACCGAAAAAAAATCAAATGTTGACGGCCGACAGGGTATGGTACACTTTGTATTGTGGACGTTCATTGAGGTTCAGGCAAAACCTGTTTGAATCGGTTGGCAGCTTTGGTACCTACACATGGTTCTGTCATTGTTAAATTCGGCAAAAAGTTATTAGTTTGTCTTTAGGCTGTCAGTGAGTGTCGGTCGCTGTAACAGAAAACATTGGCCGATTGCAATTCATACTGTATTACAATCCAAATTGTTCAACTATAACTAAATGCGTTTGCGATCCTAGATTTTTATCTCTGAATCACCAAAATGTTACACTTGATAAACCTGATTCTGAAAAAGTATTGAGAATAAATGCCTAAATGGTCTACAGCTTACCGTTGCGTACGTTTTTCTACTCACCTGAGCCTCATGCTGGTGTCTATTTCTATCACGTGCTTGTCTGGCAGTGAGTTGTAAGATGGCTTTACAGCAGGTTCACACTCAGATTTCTGCTGGCCCGGGCCAGCAATGCCTGTAAACATAGAATAGTCAGCATTAGCAGTATATAGGCAATCATATTGTATGGGATAGTTTCTGAGTGGCTTCAAACAAGAAGATTGTTTTAGGTTCTGTGTATTAGCAGAGGCACGAGCCACTTTGAGTAGGGGGGGGGGGGGCTTTGGGGGAAAATGACCTCGGCCACAATCGGTTATTTTATTCCTCATTTTGGTAGTCTGTTTCGTTTAGTCACCAGATATTTGTTTATATTCAACTGGCATGGAGTACAGTTGGTCTGTGCCAAAGCGTTCAAATCTGCGGCTTGAATTTGGAGTTGGATTTGAAGCTGCTTACGTCTTCAACTTCTTTTTAAATTGTAACGTCCTACACCCGCCCACCTCATCTAATTCATCACAGCGATGTGCTGACGCATCAGCTCTCACACTGTCCGGCCTCCATTACAGCCAATTTCCAATCGATCCTAATTTTCCACCGGGTCTTTGACGCCATAGGAGGGCCGTTTCTGAAGACGACCGGCCATGAACCCCTCACGGCATCCACACGCCCACTACCAGCCTGGCGCGCCTCCCAAAAGCGCGCCCACAATGACCTTGACCTTGAACGTGCGGGTGTGCGGTGCGGGCGTCAGGAACCATGTGTAGAGCTGTTCAGGAAAGAGGAAGACGCTGTAAAGCATGCTACGAGAATGACTTGTATGATGACTTGTGATTCGACTGGAGAAAGAATGTGCTGTTGATTTTGGTGTTGTGAGGAAGAGCTTAGGCTTTTGGGGAAGCTGCTTGGCGGTGTCTATTTTGGTCTTGGTTGAATGTGCGAACTTGTGGCGCTTTGGCTGAGAAGCAAAGTAGCATGTTCGAAGCGGAAAGGAGGCAGGGGAGGGGTAAAATTTTATCGCAATTTAGATTAAAACGCTCCCAGGTTTTGATTGTCTTCGTAAATACTGTTTGGTTATGCATTACGCTACGCAAAGCTAGGCGAAGTTAAAGCAAGGACGCGTTTTGGAATGTTTCACGTGTATTGGACTGAACAATGAACGTTCTTAGCTATCCGCCAACAGCTGAAAACCGGTTTGTTGTTTACCAGCCTCATCTCTGGGAAATGTGATGTGAGCGGATCTGGACATCGTGGATATATCCAATTGCACCAATGCTAGATTGTATCGTTGCAATTGGATACAGGTATCAGGGAATTCTGCCTTAAATTCCGCTTGCCAGCCGAAGAAAATGGCCAGTTTTAACGTGTTAAAAAAAGGTTACATGACCAGTACTACAGACTTCTTCTTTCCCGTAGTATTTCTACAGTCTACACTCGTGCACAACCCGCAGGCTTTCATGAGCTAGCCTTTGTATTATCTACTGAAACGGTGCCAGCAAAACACTGTTGGTGTTGACGTGTAAACTCGCGTGACATCAACGAAATCCCAGGCTGTGACATCAACAAAGCAAGGCTATGTGGTCACCCTGGCTGGGAAAAACGTGTTTCTTAAGCACCCGCCCTAAAAATGCCACTTCCGTTGCCATTCAGAGAAGGTTAGGTGCTATATGCTGAACTTGGAGTCTTGGAGTTGGAATGACGTATAGTTTTGCACCAACGTTTCGTAACACATTAGCATAGTCGCGTTTGGATACGGGCAAGTTTTCGTTCTGGTTTATGCTTCGTGGTTGTCTGTTGTAAGACTTTGGGTGTCTATTCAAGGTGTTCATGTCGTCTCTCTGTGCTGTTGCCTACTGATACCAAGCAAGAGTTGAATGCTCGTGACACGGAAAGCAGTAGAGCAGTGGAACGTCATGACCAGCTTCAGTTACTGCGTTTCGCTCTGCGGCAGCCAGATCAAGTTAATGTACATATGCGCAATTTTGGCACCACGGTTAAAGCAAACTCAAAACTTAAATTTTGAACCTTCCCCGATTATAATTATGAGTTTCAATAGCATAGTTCCAGCACGGACCATTGCTATATGCTTACCAAAAAAATGCGTGTGGAGTTTGAAATAAGGCTTTGGTGAGTTCAAATTGTTACCTAACGCGCAGTTACCCTCTAAAAACGAACACATTATGAGAAACAGCTTCACTTAAAAATGTAATTTATCAGAACAAACCGGCGCAAGAAGCAGTCTTTCTATCACTCCTCCCACTCTCTCACTCACCCAGTTGGCAGAGGCCCGGCTGGCTCTCTCCCTCCACGTGGATCCGCCCCTCTCGCTTCGCCGCACCCCGTGCTACTGTCGGCCGTCGAGCCAGCGGTCGAGCCGGGCGAGCGCCAAAGCCACAGCCGTGGCTAAAACTGTGGCCAAAGCCGTGGCCAAAGTCGTGGCCGAAATCCAGTCAAAAACCGGCGGGCGTACGGGCGTCTGGGGAGGGGAAGAGTGGGAAGGTGAGTAGGAGAGATGGGATAGACGGAAGAGGGTGAAGAGGATGTGATTGAAAGGAGAGTGTGCGGATATTGAAGGAGTAGCGTTTAGAGTACGGAGTAAGAGGGAAGGGCAAAGCGAGAGGTTATGGTGAGTTGGGTGGTTATATTTGTTTTACTATTAAACACGCTTTTGATAGTTACTGAATAATGAAATCAGTATCAATGGCAAAAAAGAAACAAGTACTGTCGCACTTAGTGTCATGAACAGTTTCTAAGCGTTCTTGCTCGCTTCAAACACAAACAGCGTCTCATGACTTTGGGAATGTCTGGAATGCTCATATCTTGACGATCAGCAAGATCCGGGTCGATGCGGTTAGCCCGATGTACTGATCTTTGATCATGTTCCGGTATGCTTCCGCGGTCTATACAGCGCATTGTGTTTCTAGTAAGGGTTGGTGACCTCTGGACTCTGGAGATGGTGACCGTTCAGGCTGTCGCCTGAGGCAAAGAGCTGCTGTTTTTGGTACGGAACGAAACCGCCCGTTAGCTTTGGGTGATCGACACTCTTGTGAGACTCCCGGTAAATTAATTGCCGGTTTTTCTGACTTCCAATCAATTTGAAAGATAATTGGAACCGTGGCAATAGTAAAAAGTAAAGATACGCAAATCCGTTAGTTCAATCGTCTTTCTTCCTCAAAAGTTTGTCCTTCGTCACTCTCGGTTGCCCTTGTATGATTGGTGGTCTGAAAAACTCGACACATTAATTGTTCGCTCTTTTTTTGTACCGTGCGTCACTTTCTGTGGTGTGCTGCAAGGAGGCCTTCTTGCGCCCATGTTTTATTCAGTGACCAGTGACCATGGCCTAGTCACTAGTCAGACTTGATTTGCGCACTAAACAAGGAGCACTAATATCTACCTGTGACTCATGAGGCAAGGCCATGCCACTCTCAAAGATCGTAACACTTGAATTGAAGCCTCAACGATCTTCGACCTTGATTATGGACAACTTTTCATAGTACAATTTTTATGCACTGTTTTACATCTTCCGTGATGATTGGCGAGAGACTTACAGCTTGTCGAGCCTTAGCCTCGAGCGCTAAGGCTTTCACGGCTTGTTTCGCGTTCGCTCGTCATGTTTGTATTGCTGATGTCTCTAAATTTGTCAACGATGTCGCTATGTAAACATTTGTCATCGTTGTTTGCATATCACTGAGGCTGTGGTTTAGAAGCAGCTGCTTGAATGTTTATCTTTCCAATAGGTGCTGTCATGACTGAAGATGCATTGTCATTTGATGTAACACGAATCATCTTCAGATCCTCTTCCTTTGCCCTCACACTTGACTTTCACGTCATTGTTTGACAATGTTTTTCTCTATGTAAACATCTTACATTCCCACCTGCCAACTTCGTTCCCCGTTTGCAGCCCATTTTCCTGTCCCGTTCCTGTCAGCTTTCTGTGATGGTTTCCCTCCGTCCGTATTTTTCGTGATTCCCTCTGTCCCTCATCTGGCCCCCTCCTCCCCGCTCCTCATTCCTCGTCCTCTTCCTTCATCTCTCCTCTCGTCCTCTCTCTACACCTCCCCTCTGTCCTGGCAGTAACCTCAAGGCGCTGATCATGGCTTAACACACGGACACGACAGTGACAGTGGTGGGACGATGGTCACAGGTGCTTGGTCAGGGCGCATTTGTGCTCTGTCCTTCGTGACTGACCCCCACCCCCTCCCTCGGACCCACCCCCTACTGAGGGGAAGTCACGTAGTTTGGCATAGAATGGGGAGAGAGGGATAGGGAGGGAGAGAGGGAGGAGGCTGTTGACGGTATAAGAGTGAGCTAGCGTGATGTTGGGAGGCGTCACGACACGGAATATTCATGCAATGTTAGAAGTTCGTTTGTGGTGCGTACTAATTGATTTGTAACTAGGACGGGCTCGACTTTTCGATCACTGGGTGTGCTCATGCATGAGCTGATTTCAGACATTGCTTTCATTGCACAGCTTTATGCATAAGTGGAGTTAGCGACCTTAAATTTATATTAACGGTGCCATTTTTGTGCGTTGAAGTACGCTAAAATTATGCATCTATTTACTGCCTGTAAAGTCCACATGTAATCGCCCAATCAAAGTATGGCACAGTTTTCAATCACAGAAACCGTCTGTAGTCCCGGACTCGACTACTGTTTCCATAGCATGACTCAACTAATTGATAGTGAGCCCACAACGTTGCACCATTGTCCGTTAGCAACGCTTCAAGTACCATGGCCGATGGCATAGTCCGCAGTTAGGTGGCAATGAATTAACGGCCATTTTGCGTAGTAATAGTTTCATAACCATTCTAAGGGCGACCTTTTTGCAGTACATTTCACTTTTAAAATGGACCACACGGACCACATCATCCAGGTGAATGGTGATCTGTAGTCCCAAATCACATTCTTGTAGGCAATCGAAAAAATAGGTATGCGATTTTTACTTTCCTCTCTCTCTCTCTCTCTCTCTCTCTCTCTCTCTCTCTCTCTCTCTCTCTCTCTCTCTCTCTCTCTCTCTCTCTCTCTCCTCTCTCTCTCTCTCATCTCTCTCTCTCTCTCTCTCTCTCTCTCTCTCTCCCTCTCCCTCTCCCTCTCCCTCTCCCTCTCCCTCTCCCTCTCCCTCTCCCTCTCCCTCTCCCTCTCCCTCTCCCTCTCCCTCTCCCTCTCCCTCTCCCTCTCCCTCTCCCTCTCCCTCTCCCTCTCCCTCTCCCTCTCCCTCTCCCTCTCCCTCTCCCTCTCCCTCTCTTTCTCCCTCTCCCTCTCCTCCTTCCTCTCCCTCTCCTCCTTCCTCTCCCTCTCCTTCTCCCTCTCCCTCTCCCTCTCCCTCTCCCTCTCCCTCTCCCTCTCCCTCTCCCTCTCCCTCTCCCTCTCCCTCTCCCTCTCCCTCTCCCTCTCCTTCTCCCTCTCCCTCTCCCTCTCCCTCTCTTTCTCCCTCTCCCTCTCCTCCTTCCTCTCCCTCTCCTTCTCCCTCTCCCTCTCCCTCTCCCTCTCCCTCTCCCTCTCCCTCTCCCTCTCTCTCTTTCTCTTTCTCTTTCTCTTTCTCTTCCTCTTTCTCTCCCCTCCCTCCCTTACTCCCTCTCTCTCCCTCATCCTCTCGCCCCCTTCCTCCCCCTCCCCCTAGCCATGTATGCATAACCCCCTCTCCTCTTCAGTCACATTTTACGTTCTTATTTTCTTTTCTCAGGATGTTCCTGCCGCGGCGGGCCAGTAATGAAAAGTACGATGACATGGCGGACGAGCGGCGAGGAACCAACATACTACTGAGGGCAGATGAGACGTTCACAAACATCAAGGTAAGGTGGGAAAGTTAGGGTAGGACAACTCACAATTGCGGGTTGATGAGACGTTAATGAACATTAAGGTAAGGTAGGCAATTAGTTTACTCGTATAATAACTATCCTACTGCGGGCTGATGAATCGTTCACAAACTTCAAGATAAGCAGCAGTGAAGTCTGCAACAGACTTTCATGAGAGGATATGACTGGCGAGTAGTTGCAAATATTTATAACAAAATGGCATGATCAACGGCAAAGTGCCAGTGTAACAAGACAGTTTACAGTGCAGTGCGCAGTTTCACGACGCTTCCAAAACTGCTGGTATTTTTTCATGGCCCCATAATACCGCCACCAAACGTTGAAGTGTCATAGAGGTCGTATTTTGGTCTCGTCATAAGATACATTCGACACTGCACACTGCGTAGGCTGTGTGCTGTATCAAAATGTTTAGGCTGGAAAGCTCCCACCTGCGCACATCGAGTAGGTAAATTAAACACAGGTGGAAATACGCTGTCGAGCATCCCCGAATTATCACAGCTGACAGCGGCGGTACCGTGATATTGTGCGACGCTGCCTGTCTCGCAGACAATGACACCGACTTCCGGTCGACACGCGGAGTGCACAATACCGGCACGCGCTGGGGGGGGGGGGGGTGGAGGGGGGTCGACCTTGTCCCTAGTTCGGCTCTGTTGATCACGCCCCAGCTACGAGTGACGCACTTTGAGTGCCGATGTTATGGTGCGTTGGTTGTCGGGCGTGTGTGTGTAGGGGTAATAGGGAGGTAATGAGTGGTTTGATGGAATGTTTGAGATGTTACGTGATGTTTTGGTCGGTAATAGCTTTAGGCGATCGATGTGGTAAATGCTTGATGAATGGCTTCATTATTACTGAGTGTATTAAATGTAGCATGAAAGCGGTTCGGGATATATGCGACGGTTTCGTTTATTAAATGATAGCTATTTCGTTCTTGTTTATCTAGTTAACTAAAACGATTAGTGCATGTGTTTCTCGACTCCCACAATTGTTAAATGTAAGATATTTTATACATTTCGTATTTCATACATCATGTCGTCATCATTTTGTCGTCGTCGTCGTCATGCTCACTCCACCTGCTTTATTAGTTGAAAGAGAAGACAATTACATAGATATCCGTTCATTCTGAAGAAATGACAATGTCCCACTCTTCAGCCACATCGACAACTTACACACATCGACATTGACTAAAAGGCATCGCAAGGCAACGGTGAACAAGGCTTTGCTAAAGCCTTAGTCATCACAACCTTTTCACACTTTCCACTTACCACCCTTCCTTGCCATCCGGCTTTGTTTAAATCCTGAATGCCCGCAAATCCTCCTCCCTCCTTCCTCTTTTTTTATCCCTCTTTCTATTCCACTTTCCCTTTCCTCTCCCCTCCTAGCACCCCGGCGGCACTGGGCCACAATTCTCCTCCGACCACGATCGCACTGCGGCCCTGCACAGCGTCCCAAACTCCGCTCCGGGATGAGCCAGTGACAAAAGATGGGACAGCGGCAGACTGGCTAGACGAACGGCTGTTAATGTCGAGTGTCCTGCTCTTGGCCGGGACTCTCGTGGTTCTGTGGTTGATGATCTGCCTTCTGGGTGTGATTTGGATGGTGAAGTTGTTGAAGACGGTGGTGTAGAATAATGTCTGGCGTTTGCCTCCGTGTTCTCTGATACACCTGTTGATGTTTTTGTCCTCGCTACCGACTTGCTTGCTCTTGTGTGCAACTGTGTCTTCGCCCCCTCTGGTTTTATGAATGATTGCCTACCACCTTGATAGCTTCCCTGATGAGGCATTGATTCAGACGTTGTAAGCGATGGTAGAGCTGCAGATCTTCTTCCATTTGTAGCCAATGTATCTTTTGCCCCGTCCTTTCTCGTCTTGCTGGCCCTCGCAACTCTCCCTCGCACACTATCTTCAGCAATTGCACGGTTCAGCTGACAAAGTCGATACGCCACACACTGACCTCTGAGATGTTCGTCATGCTGTCCTCCCTTCTCGTACAGTAGCTTCAGTACAGGAAGGAGATGATACAGAGCACGGTACTGCTCGTTCTCTGAAGAGAACGACGAGTAGGTGTTGGCATGATGCCAAGAGTTTCCATCGACGTTGTCGTTTTTGTTTCCGTACCAAGCGCCGTTCACTGCGTCGTTATGATAACTGTTCCCATTGATGCTGTCAATGCTGTTGCCAATGACATCACTGTTCCAGTTTCCGTTTCCGATTCCGTTTCCATTACCGTTGCCGTTTCCATTACCGTTGCCGTTTCCATTACCGTTGCCGTCTCCATTACCGATGCCGTTTCCATTACCGATGTCATTGCCGTTTCCGTTTCCATTCCCGTTGCCGTTTGCCGCGGCCGCCTGAGCTAGAGACAGCGCCAGCAGAGCGGCAATGGCAGCGAACCCCGCTGTGGCTCCTTCCAGACCTTGAAGACATCGGCAGTTGTAGTCCTGTCCGTCCCTGTAACCAGGGATGCGGAGCCGGAGCCGGAGTCGGAGCCGGAGCCGCCGGAGCCGGCATATTTTGCCCGGAGCCGGAGCCGGAGCCGGAGCCGTGAAACAATATAGCCCGGAGCCGGAGCCGGAGCCGGAGCCGCCAAAAAAGGGGGCGACTCCGGCTCCTTTTTATTTTTTGAAGAGGAAAAAAAATAATTGACCTATGTAGTTCGGTTTGACAGTATAAAGCAGTAAAACATATGGTAAGTACGTCATGGGCCATCAAGTGAATGAAAAAAGCCGAATATCCCCAGCATCCCACAGTACGCAATCAACTTCCTGTCTGCTCCTCTCCCCCCCCCCCCCCCCACGTCTACTGCATCCCCAGAACATGAGGACCGGTCATCAGGTGACGGCCATTGTTTTGAAGCCAGTGCAGTGGACTGCGACTCCCAACACCGTCTCTTCCCACCCCACCCTACCCCCCCCCCCCCCACACCCCCACCCCCCAATGCAGCCGAGACGGGTGTCAGCTTACGATGGTTCAGTGAACTCCGATTCGCGGCGACTGCGTTTCCAATGTCCTTTCCAATGCTTTCTAGTCTTTTGTTCTGCCAGTTCTCTCCGAGGTGCGTTTGCGCGGGGACGCGGTGAGCCGGTCATGGCAAAGAGTAACGCGGCCGTATAGTCATAATATTTCGCCACGTGCTTATATACCCTGTTCGCTGATTGCATGTGCTGTTGAGAAAAATAGCCTTAGATGTTAGTTGTTATGCAAATACAGAAGCTACGTGTACCAATCCAATTTTTCTTCCACCCGTATTTAATTGATTGCATAGGAGATGTACTGAGTCGGAGCCGGAGCCGCCGGAGCCGGAGCCGCCGGAGCCGGACCATTTTACTCGGAGCCGGAGCCGGAGCCGGAGCCGCCATAACATTTCACCCGGAGCCGGAGCCGGAGCCGGAGCCGATTTTTTTCTCCGGAGCCGGAGCCGGAGCCGGAGCCGTCTGAAATTTCCACGGCTCCGCATCCCTGCCTGTAACTGCTACCGCTTCCTACATATCCTGCAGAGAACAGCGATCTTGCCTTTGATGCAGCGGCTCGCGTTGTCGCCGCCAAGCGGATGGCTGTTGCTGAGGATTCTCGAGCGCTTCTAGTGTGGTGCTGGTGGTGATTCTCCTGGCGTTTCTGCCAGATGCAGACTGCCTCGACAACTGCTGCCGCCAGTTCAGGTCCCGGGTAGTCTAAAGGTGGGGGTGACGCGTAAAGGCTGCGACCCCTTCCGCCGCCGCCCCCAGCATTGTTTTGGAAGAACACGAAGACAGTCACTCCCAGGAGAGCAACTCCTCCTGTCACTAGAGCTGCGACGTCGAACGCAGAGCAGTCGCAGGGGTCGACGGCATAGTGGGAAGAAGAAAAAGCGTACGGCGAAGAGCGTGAAGGGGAGTAAGGAGTTTGAGTGGTACTGGATGACGTGAAGTCGCTGAAGAGAGACCCGAAGATACTAGGAATGGTATGAGATGATGATGTTGGTCTAGAGACACCGTTGAGGTTTGTTGTTGTGTCAGGCCGCCAGAGGAAGGATGATGAAGGAAAACACATTTTGACGTTGAATAGTAAGCGCTGCTAGAAAATCTTTCTTTGCTCCTTTGGTGTTCCGTTCTTCTTGGTATGCTGATGATGGTTTATCACGTTAAAAGTAGATCTTTCGTATGTTTTTTTAGTCGTTCTTGTCAGTTTTCCTTACATAATTTATTTGTGCAACTTCGTTTAGTGACTCCTCTTTTTCGTGGACTCACTCCAGCTGCTTTTCTGCCGTTTTGTCTCGATGCTCTGGTTTCCTGATCTTTGTCCGCCTCACTGAGGCAGAATCACAAGAAGTCACTTATGAAGGTCCTCACTTTGACCGGAATTCATCAAACTTCATAACACTGCCCAGAGCTCCAACTAAGCTTCAGAAAGTCACTTTGACTTTGAAGTCACACACCGTAAGACTTAGCCACTTCACACAAAACAAAACGGCACAGCGGCCTCGGTACCGTCTTGTCCCTCTCCCGTCTGCACAGCTTCTGTCCGAAGCCGTTTGGCGCGGTCAGAGATGCGCTCATGTCGTGTGTGACGCCTCAGCTTCTCGTGACGTCTTCGTGACGGTTCAGTAGCGCCAGCCTGTGATGTGTGACGTCGGCGGCACGCCTCGTGACTGGCCGTAACGTGACGTGTCTAGTGACGAGTGTGACGTGTTGGCGAGGTGCGTCACGTAACACTTAGTGTCCTAGGTTTGGTGTTCGACATTTGGCTATGTTTTGTGTAGTTTAGGCAGACATTGTTTTGGCATATGTGGCTTAGCCAAGTGGTGTTTTTGGGAGCTAGACGTCTCCTTTTGATACGAAGTCAAAGAGAATATTGTGGCAAAAAATTACATCAGTGGTATGCAGTCGCACATCAACTCGGTTTTTATTTTATTAATGGAATTAAAGGCCAGTGATTCGGTTCGCAGCCACACGTTTCAATCAGCCGTCTGTTTCTAACCGTTTTTATCATGTTCATGTTCGTGTTCGATTTACCATGAAATGTTCGTGCCTTTCAGTGTTAGCGAGGAGCCTCCCAAGTAGGGCAGTCGTGCTGAAGGTCTTTGTGCACGATCGGTTCTACCTAAAAAAGGATGCTGTCGGATGGCTGAGCGTCACGACACAATATCGAGTTAATGTGAATGATGATTTTATGTAGGAACCAAAACAAGTCCCATGTGATATAAGAATGAAAAACGGTTAATATACAGTCACAGATCAAGTTTTGCTTGAACGCGGCAGCCATAGAAACGACATATAGACCCATTTGGACCTTAGCTAAAAATGTGTCCTGTTTCGTTTCATTATAGAGCGCAAATCATTGTTGTTGCACCACATAGTTACTTCTCTATGTCGAGAGAAAAGTATGTGGCTGCACGTATTCATGTGACTTGCTGTTGTTTGTATTTTCATCCAGTCGCAACTTCGTGCTAGCGCATCATGATGCATTGAAGAAGAAGATGCGAACGTGCTACTGAACACACGATTCAATGCACATGGACGTCTTTGTCGGGAGATTGGGAGGCACCTCAGGGAGATGGGAGGCATAGAGATAGGTTTTTGCCAACCTCAATCTTTTTATGGTAAAAACGCTTATTATCCCATGTATGTGTAGTATAGGCCGAGGGTCGTGACACTATTGAGAGCGGTGGCTAGTCTATAGTAGACATGTTATTAATCCATCACTGTTTTAATTTACTTTCAGACCTAAACTCTCAGTTTACTTTCAAAGTTTGGGTTGTACCGTGCACTCACACCGGAGCATTTGGGGCTTCGTGTTTCAAATATGGGTTTTATGCTCAACTCCAAACGTAGATCTAGTAGCTCCAAAACGAAAAATTTGCCAGAATTACTGTAAATTCGGTAGTGTAGGTGCTCATATGCTCCTTTTGTGCGTGCACCCAATGCATTAGCGTCGCCACGGGGGGGCAAGCGGGGCAGCTTGCCCCCCCAACCTCGGACCGGGCACCCCCTGAGATCGATACAGATCCGATGAGATTTTGGAGTCGGGAAAAAATGGGGGTACCTTTCTGAGAATGCCTGTGAGGTCAGACTCGTTCAAGCCAGAGTCGGACTCGCAGTCGCCAACATCGTCAAGACGCCGACTCCAGACTCGGAAATGTCAATACTGTGATTCATTTCATGTTCCTAGTTGGTTCTGTATTACATTTAATAGCTGATTTTCATAAGTTTTGAAGTGCTGATACAAAATTTGCGTTCAAAGTGTGACACTAAATCTTCGGGCCTTTTTCAACTCTCGTCAAATGTCTGCGACAGACTCAAGTACCGTTCAAGTGCCACAGGGCTCATGACTGCTTGCATTTCACACAGGCTCCGAAGGAGCTCCACTGAGCTCTAAGAAGCTTTCAGAGGGCCCAAACCGGCCTCTGAGAGTCCCACTGGTGTTCATATTCTCTGAGAGCCCATACAGGGATCTTTGAGGACCTTACACGTGCGTAGACCTCTGAAGGGCCACACGGATCTTTGAGGATAGGTACTTTCAAAAATTTCTGAGAACCTTAGGCCTCTGATAGCTCAGCCGAGCTTTTGAGGCGAGAGATTTTGCTGAGCCCAAGCCGGCAGTTTAGGGGTCACGACTCAGGTGTGCCTCTGAGGGTCCTAGCACATGTTTCTTATGTCCCTATGTTAGGTCCTTAGGGATTCGACACAGACCTCCAGGGTTCACACTGCTATTTGAGGGCTCCCTGCTCACCCTGGGCCTGGTCTCTTAGCGCCCGCCGCCCAAACTGGCTTCTGAGGGTCCCACATTGGGCTCGGAAAGCCCTAAAGCACCACATACACGTAACTATTTGGGGTGACCAACGCCGATCTTCAGGATCCTAAGCAGGCTTCTGAGAGCCCACACTGACCATGAGTGGCCTAAAATGGCCTGGAAGTCCCAAGCCTATCGCTAAAGGTCAAAGGATCCCTTGCCGCTATGCCGTGCGAAATTTTGGTTCCGTTAAACATCTTTTCTTCGCGTTTGCAGCGCTTCCTTGCACACGAAAAACGAGAAACATTTTGTTCGCACTCTCGTGTGAACAAAACACCTCTCACTGGAGCAAAGATGAATTACTTCCGATTCACACTTCCGACATTCACTCTCCGCCGAAAGCCCAACTTAGTTTCAATCGGCGGCTGGGATAAGCCCTATGTATCTCACGTAGAACCTCTGCATGCATGCGTGAATGAAGGCTTCAGCAAGGTGATTATTAAACTGAGCGTTTTTAACCTCTTTTCCTGGGTGATGATCATGAGCGACGAGCGTCTGCACAGGGGCTCTCTAGAGTGCGTCGGTACGCGCAGCCATTGTGATTCTACCGATCGTTTTTTTTTTTTTTTTGTTCAAAGATTTAAAAGTTTGAATTTTCTGTAAAAAAGAAATGGCAAGTCATATCTACAAGGAAAACCTTGTCACCATCGTATTCATCGCACCATTGCGCGTTGAATGATACGTAAAATGAATGAGTAACGACTGGAGGAAGGCAAGCCCAACCGAAAATCTCTGGCGACGCCTATGACCCAATGTCTGGAATCAGCCTATGAATTGCTTGCAATCACTGATCGTTGTTCTCTGTTTCACAGAAGAGCGAGGTGGGGCCTATCATCCCCACCCACGGCTTCTCCAGTTTCAAGTTCATCCCGGGCACGGACGACACGTGGATTATCGCTCTGAAATCCGAGGAAGACAGCGCCGCCAACCGGACAAACACCTACATTACAGTTTTCTCCATCGACGGACAGGTGGCGCTGCCGGAAACTCCGCTCAAAGGAGCAATGAAGTTCGAGGGCATTGAGTTTGTTTGACGCTAGGAAACTTGGGGTATGGACATTTGGGAGGGTAGGCTTTTGAAGAGAATTGAGAACGGGCATTGCAGCTCAAGAAAGGACATTTTTGTGTGCGCCGGTACTGGCGAGCATGTGTGATGCTGCTAGGGGTTGTGTAAAAAGGTGTTCTGTCGTATGATTTTAGAGAACTGCTTCAACTACTATTGTTGGAGTGTACGTTCCAAATGTTACTCAGTGGATCTGGAAACAAGTGCCAGACTTGTATATGGTCTTATGTTTGTATTTATACATCATAGCCAGTATGATGAATGTTTTTACCGGATTTGTTTACGGTTTTGGTAAAAGTAAGTGCCTAAAAGTAAAAAATCTCAAGGATTAGGAAGCCCGCAGTGCTTAAGCGTCACAAAGTATCTTAAAATAATTTAAATTAAATGACTGAATTTCAGTTGGCATGTATGTAATGTATTTATTGGTCGTGAGAGATTGGAATGAGATGCGAACTGCGAAGGTCGCTTTATGTAGGACTTGGTTCGTACGGAAGATGCTCAGGTGTATGTCACGTGCTGACTTTGTTGCGTAGTGCGATCAAGACACGATGGTATGCGTGGAGCGGCGCGTTGGATTTGTACGTAACGACGCAGTTCTCTATACACCGTGTAACGACGGGTGTTTTTATTTTGTCGCTATTCCGTGAATAAGAATCACCAGCAAAATGCTGGCGGAGACTCTCTCCCAATGTGATTGTTGATCGATGAAATCACAAGTGTACGCTATGGTGTACGTGAGACATGTTTCTTAAATGCTCTCTCTTTGTCACAAGCGGTCAACTGTGATGGCTTTTCTCTATCGTGGCGTCTTGCACAGACTTGTGTGCAATGTCAATCGACATCATTCGAAATATACATGTTTGAAATACTTTGTTTTCAGATACAATCGGCTCTAATCGTAAGCTTCTGGGTCGTCTTTCACCGTTTAGGTCGCCATTTTTAGGTAGTTTGATGTGGACTTGTGCTTGTTTTTTGTTAATCGTTCTTTCCATATTTGTTGCAGCTTCTGTTTCGTACGTTTTATTTTTCAACTCTCGGTCGCAAGCTAACGTTTTACAAGCACTTCACCGGAGTGAACCTTTATACTTGCTAAACGTTCCATTTGGTACTTTACCAACCACCTTCAAGATAGTAACCGGTATCAGATCAGTTACCTAATTGTGCCATGCACCTTGCGGCATTCGTCACGCCTATTCCTTATGCCACCCGTCGCGTTTGTTACCCGCGAATGATTGACAAATTGCCGCCTCGCCCTCTTCTGGCCGAATTTTGCAGCCATAAAACTGCCTCTATCTTGTCGACCTTGGCTGCTATTGTCAATGACCGCTATGACGCGGGAGGCCTCTCAACATCTACCTCGCTTGCACTTTCACTTGCTCTGCAAGCCGCGAGATATTACCTCCCCCGCGGCCGACCTGAGATGGACTCGCCCGGAGCAGCAGCGGCCGGGTCGCCTCGTGCTCGGCAGTAGCGGACCGGCAGCGGTCATGAGGGTTTCGTGCGGGGAGTTGTGATCGCGTGATTTACGTGCTGGAAGTGACTGGAAAGACTGAGATCGAGATGAAGATGGAAATGGAGGGGAGACGAAGCTGGCTGTCTAGGAGGATGACGTTGCTGGTGTTGGTGGTCATGATGTCGGCGGGGAGTCTTGCTCAAGGTGGGTCCCGGACTGCCGGTGTATTTTATACCGGGAGTGGGGGGATTGACTTTGACAGGAGATGATTGCGGATAGTACCTAGATACGTTGGAAGTTTTGGTTCACATAACCCTTCCTTATAGCACTTTATTGGGCGATGCTGGGTGAGGAAGGCTGGACGTGTTTTAAAGTGATTGATAATACTACCGAGTTGAAGGCTTTTGGTCTGATGACGTTTGACATCTGATCAAAAATCCTGACGTGTCCATTGTCATGATGAGTGCTATGGGACGCACTCAACCGTTCTTGTAATGCACATTACATGTGTCAAGCTGTATTTGAAGCGTAAATGGAAGTTAATTTGTTTGATAATTCGATGCGTATCCATTCCAAGAAGCAGTAAGCGGCGTTTGCACAAACGTACAAAGTGGTTGGATCACAAAGTGGTTGGATCACAAAGTGGTAACAAAGAGCCCGACATGCGTCCGCTGCGTACGTCTGCTGCTGAACGCTTATTTAACTAACTCATTTAGAAGAGCTTTACCAAATTCCCTTAATCAAAACTTAGCACAGTAGGTACTTATCAATCTCGCTGGTTTTTATGTGACAACGCGATGAGCTGCTGTCTTTGACCCTGAGATGAGATTTAACCAGCATCCCGAGGGCTCACATTACAGATAAATCTAAACTGGACATCCTACCTTCGACACGAGACTTTTTATGAAGCGTGTCCGATTTTACGGGTGAATGGTTATTGATGATTAACGGCGGCTTCCTGGGGCGTTTTGGAGGATCCGTGAAACCTGATCGGTTGTAGCTAATATCTGTGGAGAACCCTACGAATCGGATGGCTTATGATGGATTTCCTGAATCTCTTTTTTCAGACTCGCTTTTATGTTATTTTCTGGTCTGCCGCTTTTGCGTCGAAGGAGGCAGCAACACTACTTATTCAAATATACAGAGAAGATTCATTTTATTGAGATGGTGATTGCGTCCCCCTATTTGCTGAAGCTGTTAGTCATTTAGCCGACCACCCTAAATGTTGGTCTTTCAAAATGAGCTTGGACGATCCACGGATCACAATTTGTCCTCAGAAGTGAATTATATTCCTTAAACTTAACTCTGACCTACGGAAATCCGGTATCCAAACTGAGTGAATATTTCCCCTCACGAGATGTTGCGTGACTGTGTCACGTGATAAAATGGCGTGACGTGACTCTGCGCCACCGGCTAAGTCTGTTTTGCTCTCCACGGGAGGTAAAAGCTTTATCTCCAGTGGAGGTTAGGTTATGGTGGCTCTAGCCACGTTAGGGAGTAAGTTGTGAGATGCATTTATTGTTCATGATGAAATGTATTCATCAAGGTGACGTTTCCCTTAAACGAGCGGCAGTGAGGCTTCTAATTTCATACCATCCATTTAAAACCTCCCTCGGAAGCAATACCTGCCTCTATGCAACTGCTAGGCTCTCAACGACCAAAATCTGATAATCCGTCTCTCAATTAGAATTTACTATCATCCAAACAAAAAGCGGTCCAGCTCGGAACCTTCTGTAGCAACCTCCAGCGGGCGGATGACCGGCTTCCAGCCCCCTGTCACATGTCGACATCCTCCTTGTAGCTGATACGTGCCTCCACCCGCCGTGCCTCCACCCCCAGACGGCCATTACGCAAAGCTCCTGATGTCACATGGGGATGGTACATCGCACTGTCCGCATTGGTAGACGTTACACCATGCCTGTAAGGTGGTGGCGGCACTCTTTTTGGTTGGTGAGCTCCTCAAGGTAGACCGGTGGCTGGCGAGCGGGTTGGGTTCCTCTCTCGACGCGAGACGAGCGTAGTCTCTAGAGGTGTGTAAAAATGCAGGAATGTGTCGAGTGTTGTACGCGTACAAGTCAGTTGTGGTAACTGCACTTAGTACTGCGAAGTTGCCATTTTTGACGTTATAACTATCTTGCTAGTGTTTCTTGCTACTATCTTGCTATCTCTTGCTATCTTGTATCTTGTATCTTGTATCTATATCTATATCTAGTATCTTGCTCTTGCTAGTATCTTGCTAGTGTAGACTTTTTTACGAAATAGGTTGTTGGGATAAAATATTGAATTACTGAATGAAATATCTCATGGTTCAGTGCTGCGCACGAATGTCGGCTATGCCAGACGCTATTTTTACCGTGCATGTTCGCGCAAAGCCTCTTAGGCCAGCGGCAGGCAGTCGCGATCGCTATGCGATGCCATTGTCATCGTGCATTGACTTACGCACTTCGTGGAAAAAATAACGTGATCCTCCGCCGGCGAAACATTCAATCTGTCAGCTAACGAAGGACCGCTGACAGTTATAAGCAGGTAGTATCCGTATCATCGGAAACAATAGACCCGCGCTCAGGCGTACACAGAATATACCGTTACGAAGCCCAGACTAACTACGCGTCACGGACGGGATCGCACGAATCAACAAACTGTCTCACAAGGGGACGCTGACAATAGCATATCTATTCATCGTGGTCTCTCGTTCCCTTGACGTCGAAGGAGGATATCTTAGCGGTGTTTACCGCGAAACGGTTTGTCGGACGGAACTGTTACGTCGTGATTCTGGGCAGTTTGATGCGATCAGTTGTCGTTTGCTTATCTTCGCGGATGTGGGTTTGCTTTGTGGATAAAATAATGCAGATAAACTGGAAGTTGCCTGTTTCTCTAAATATTAGCTTATTCCTCTCGCATTTGTTTTTACTTTCTGTTTATGCAAAGTGATGCCTAACGAGACTTCCAGCACAGGGATTGATTCAAAGAAACGTTACTGCTCCGGTAAAAATGACGTTCAAACACGGCCTTATATCCGTGCAATGCCAGTGCTTGCAAACCAAATATGATCACTTGTATATCAAATACCAGTCAGATTAGTGGCCAGGCCACCAGACGAATCAAGCTAGTGAGATACAAACCAAGACGCGGGCCGAGGCTATAGCCCAGAGACAGCCAGGATACGGTCTGGATACAGCCAGTATACGGTCTGGACTCTGGATACGGCCGACTGCCGGGCCGGAAGTAAGGAGGGCCGCGCGCGCGCCGGCTCAGTGACCACCTGCCACCGCCACCACCGGCGGCGCGGCCGCTACAGACACCGCCACTTGCGTCCGTCACTGGCAGGCGGCAGCGGCCGCCAGACACCGTCACTACCACACCACCGCCTGTAGTGGTTACTACAGACACCGCCACCGCTAGTGCTACTTGCGTCCGTCACTGGCAGGCGGCGGCGGCCGCTAGACACCGTCACTATACCACCACCGCCTATAGTGGTTACTACAGACACTACCACCGCCACCAACCCGCCACTGCCTCCGCCACAGACGTGTCACCACCGCATGTAGTGGTTACTAGTTACTAGAGACACTACCGCCGCCCGCCACAGACGTCAAACAGCGCCACAGCGTGTCACCGCCGTCTATAGTGGTTACTATAGACACTGCCTTCGCCACAGACGTCAAATAACGCCACTAGCGTGCCACCGCCGCGCCGCTGCGGCCATCCTGACGTTACACCATTACAGACACCGCGTCGTATACCGTGAAGGCTCGCCACCACTACCATCTCTGCTCGCATCTTGGTTACATCTTGTCGTATCTGTTGTAGGCACAGCTGTAAACACACCCCTCCCAATGCCACCGCTATTGCCGCCGCCGCCACCCCCACTGCCGACCACTGTTTCGGTTACTGTACGGTTGCTGTCTGCCGCCGCAGACCACCGCCGTCTCCGTTACAGACATTTCTACTAGTGATGTCAATCATATGTAATTTGGAAACCGATACCAAACCAAATACCAACTGAACCTTTGAAAAAATGCCAAAACCGAACTAACTCGCGAATTCAGAAGAAATACCAACTTTTTACCAAATTTCTAATGTTGAATACATTACCAAGTCCTCACAATACCAACAAAATACCAAAATCGTTAGGTTTGAAATACCAAATACCAAGTTGGTATCGGTTTGGTATCGGTATACCAAATAGTTGGTATCCGATTGACATCTCTAATTTCTACAGCTATGAGTGTCGGTATGGAACGGGCGGCGTGTTTTTATCATTTCAGCCGAAACACCTACCGTTGCCGAACCGATAATAAAATCCCTGACTGGTATGGATATTCGCTATTTTTGTGTCCTGAATTGCCAATTGCGAACATAAAAGTTGACTGTTATTTTCACCATTTTCCTTGTCATAATTTTGGTGGCTCTTGTCTGATCGGTTTGACCTCTCGATAAACTTCCAAAGCGATGGCAATTCACATACAAAAGATCCTGACCGGGCTTTTACAAGAAGTAGGTATGTAGGAACTGTATGGCACGTGGCTAATTCTCTATTCGTCTCATATCCCGTTCCCGTACGGCCTTCAAATCGCACTTGAAATACGGCCTATACTTCTCAGGTATTTCCGGTTGCGCAATTGTTCCGTTTCCTGTCCCATTTCTGTTCTGGGACGTGGTCGTTTTGTCCTTGCTAGTTCTACTGTACTTGCAGATCCGTTTCTGTGCGAGATATACAGTCAGATTGTTGATTGTGAGTGAGATTGTCGGCACTAGATGGCCGTGAGTTTTAGTTCGTCGTGAGTTCCGGCGAACTCTGATTAATTGATCAGTGAGATCTGGTTAACGTTTGACGTTTGTCCGATAAAATCGTCACTCCGTGCACACTGCACAGTGCACACTTTTCACGCGTCGGGTGTGAGAATTGTCAGTGCAAGAGCTGAGAATCTGAGGACGCTTCTTATCACAGCTCGGATCGCTACCAGCTTCAACAGAACAGCTTTATCATAGTGTGGTGGTGGCAGAGCCGATAATTCGTTTGAAGCTGTGTTGTTACTTGTTACTGGTGAGCCTTGGTTGTTCAGTTGAGGCTAAAGCGCTTTCATGCGTCAAAGCGGTTTTGATGGGTGTAAAAAGGAAAAATATTCAGCTGTCCGAAGTAAAGAATGTTTTTCTTTTTTTTCTGCAGCATGCAAGAATCAAGGCTCGTTTGATAACAGTGTGGCTCTGTTTTCCAAACTGCATGACTCATTTCGCCTACGGGCTAGGACTGAAACGTTCTTACTCTCTCGAAGAGCCGAGATCACACAGCTCTTTATCTATGCTTGGTTTTTCCATATGTTTCGGACTTTTTCGGACTTTCAAATACTTGCAAGAGCGCCAACAGCTATGGACCTTAGAACGCTCTAGCTCTCTATCTTAATCATCATGCGCTCTCTCCCAGCTCACACGCGCTCACGATAAATGGCACGAGCAGCCCGCCGCCTAACTTCAACCGTGACACCAGTGGGGAGTCACTAATATTTTGACGAGCAACCAGACGCCTGACTGAATGTCGTCAGGCACTTCGTCGTGGGAGCGCCCCGAAAAGTTGCGTCACGAGTATTACGTGAAAGCAGGAAGACGACACTTGGTGTTCGCACCGCTCAAGTGAGACGTCTTGTTCGGAGAACCATAATGTGATGGATGGGTTTCAGGAGAGTGAAAGACGCGGACATTTGTGGTCTTCTTTAGGATGGTCTTCCTTATAGGTAGATGAGGAGGTGACCATAGAGTGTTAAGTAAAGGAGGAATCGCTTTTGGTTCAGGAACGAACGATTCAATAAATGCGACATGTGCTTACTGCGTCGTGTGAATATCATAATACATACGTCATACCTAAATCCACTTTAAGATACGACAGCAGGCTTGTCTTCGCTCAGTCATCACTCCCAACCGACCTGTCTCTGCAAACCTACTAGTGGCTGGCTGTTCAACTACTGTCTAAGACAGCGAGCAATTACTATCGCCGACAGCTGATTCCGTGATCTATCTCCAACCTTCAGACAATCATCAACTCAAGTGCGCCTCGGCCACAATAGCGTGGGACTGTTCCGGGGCAACTAACCCACGTGGGTCGCAGCTCGGGTCCATTCGTCTCTCTCTCTCTCTCTCTCTCTCTCTCTCTCTCTCTCTCTCTCTCTCTCTCTCTCTCTCTCTCTCTCTCTCTCTCTCTCTCTCTCTCTCTCTCTCTCTCTCTCTCTCTCTCTCTCTCTCTCTCTCTCTCTCTCTCTCTCTCTCTCTCTCTCTCTCTCTCTCTCTGTCTCTCTCTCTCTCTCTCTCTCTCTGTCTCTCTCTCTCTCTTTCTCTCTTCCTCTCTTCCCCCCCCCCTCTCTCTCTCTCTCTCTTCCCTCTCTCTCTCTCTCTCTCTCTCTTCCCTCTCTTCCTCTTCCGGTCTTCCTAGCCAGTGGGGTCCATCCTCCTCGCCTTCATTAGACATAAGGCAAGTCACTGACAGACTTGCGAGAAACCATAGATCTTTATGTTTTCCTGTTATCAAGCTTTGCCTCGTGTGGATAGGAATCATGAGCCCGTAAAAATCTTTCCGAGATAAGAATGTTTCCGTTGTTGAAAATGACTGCTTTTGAGTACATTACATGCTCGTCCTTGGCATTCACCTCCATCCGTCCTTTGTTACCTAAATCCTTTCCAAGAATCGTGCTACATTGCACATCCGTGATCACTCAGCCGCCCCAGTTCAGATAAGAAACCTGAAAACCTGAAAGCAGACCCCGTGAGTCTCTGAAAGCGAAAGGATTTCCAGCAGCAAGCGAACCACCACTCTAAGCCTGCCTGCCAGCCACGATCTCACCTCCCAGGATATAACCGTGTGACACGGGAGGGAAATCGCTCCCTAATGGCCTGCTACCGACACCGCCGTAGGGGACACTCAAGCTAGCGAAACGGCCTAGCCGCTCCATAAACACCACAGAGCGTGAGAATACCCGTCGCTGATCCTGCTTCCTGAGCATCGCGGCACCAGTCAAGTGGTGTGCTCGAAAAGTGGCGACTTTTATGGCGACTCGTGCGATGCGCGATCGGGATTCTTCGTGTAAGAATATCTGTTTACGGTGGTGTTTGATTGTATCTTTGTAAGCAGTTTGATGGTGGTAAAGGTGAAATTGAATTGTCTCACGGCTGTCTGTGTTTCATGATCCGTAGCTCGTGAGAGAAGTACACTTTCCGGTCAGAACTCGAACTCTGAGGGCGTAGAACTTGGAAGTGAGAATTATGCGCCACACTGAAAACATTTTTACACCTGTTCCCGAAAAATAACTCCTGTCCTAAGTGTGAAGAATCAAATGACACCCGAATCACGAATCATCTGTTAAGTCTGATCAACTATGCATGGGTAAACGTAAGTGTTTGGGATAATACACTTTGCCTTAACACTGTGGTCCACGAAAAATACGTGCTCCGGGTGTCATCATGAACCTCGTTATAGATGATCAACACCGGTTTCGAGTCCCCCACAAATTGATCATCAGGGCAGGCATCAATAAAAGGGTAGGACCTTGGAATGCGTGTTATTTTTTCCCGCGCGACCGCCTTGGGCTGATCATGCAGCTCGCGAAACGCGTATCATTTTCCCGCGCGTCCGCCGGCGGCGGGTTGTTTGTCACTTTACTCGGGTGTAAGAAATTACAAACATTTGGCCTTGTCGCCATCTTTGCTGCATTTTGTGTGTTGCGGCGGACGCGTGGTATTGCCGGTTCTGGGCTGCATGGATTCGAAGAGGGCTGAGGTAAGGTGATAGGCATACATCTTTACAATAAGCATTTGGCCATTTGCAGTTACGGAAGGCGAATAAGGATGTGGAGGAAGGTAGAAACGCAGCAAGACGTCCTGCTGTCTGCTTCTGTCGGCATATGTGGCGCTGTCATAATGATAACTGGTGAATTATCCATTTTATTTCCTATGTTACTCCGTTCTTTTCCTTGCTATTTTATAATTACAATATTTGCATAATGCATGGTTTAATGTGCCTATCCTAGAGTTCCGCATCACAAATGCTTTGTGTGCACCATTGATAATGTGATGCCTCATGGTTGTGAATGACAATGAGGGACGATAAAGCACAGAAGGAAATAGTTAAATAGCCATTTTAATGGTTATAATTGACTGAATCCAATTCATGTGCCTACATATGGATTGGATTTTAGATTTCAATTTATCAGTACATGGATTTGGATTATTTGAGGTGAGACGTGCAGAATGTTCATACCTACCTTCAAGGGCGGAGAATTGTTGGGGGTGCATTTCTTGTTTGAATGTATAATTTTCTGCATTCAGGATGGTTATCGGGATAACAAAGGCCACTTGGCCTGGTGGACCTATTCTCACCGAGCTCTTAGCTGGTTGGACTAGTGTGGCTCTAAGGGATAGGGAGTGTTGTACATGACTGTCTTCCAGTGGCGGTCTAGTCGGGCCTTGAACTGGTTGAGGGTTTCGGCACACACATGGTCTCAGTCTGGGAGTGTGATCCAGTTGTTGACTACTCACACACTCAGCATGTTCCACTGAACGAGTGTCCGCACCCTGCGTTTCTTGAACTTCCACTTGTGCCCTCTCGTTCTTGTCGAGTCGTGCCTTGTCAGGATCTCAGCAACCAGCACAGGGGCGTAGGAGCCACAGGGGGGCACGTGCCCCCCCCCAACCGCAGAGCCGTGGGGCATTGCCCCCATAACTTCACGGTAAAAAGATGCATTTCGAGACAAAAATGGCATGGCATTGCACCTTGCGATGCGAGCCAGCGTCCCAACGTTCAGTAAAGCACATTTCCGTCTAATGAAGGAGCCTTTTGGGCAGGTAGGACACCTTTTCTCATCACTGGCGCACTAGCAGACCGAATTTTGCCCCCACAGCTGAAAGCAAGTTCCTACGCCCCTGAACCAGCAGGTCGTAGAGCAGGTGTCCTGACCTAGAGCAGGTTTATTAGTTATTACTCATTGTTTACCTAAAATCCTACTAAGTTAATCTAAATTAGGTACGTACTCCCTTCTCATCTAAAGCAGCTAAAGTAATTTGGTGGGGTACCTAATGAGGAGTTTAGGTGAGCCAAAGAAATATATCCAGTAACAACATTGGCGGATCTAGCTAGTGACTAAGGGAGGGGCCAAAACGGGCCAAAGTAGGGGCCTTATACATGTAGCAATATACCTAAAGCATTGGGTTCGGTTTGCAAAGGGAGGGGTCAAATCCCACTTTGGCCCCGCCACTGCTGGATTTTGGCCCGTTGCCCCCTGGATCCGCTAGTGAGTAACAATCTATATCTGTAAGAAGCTTGAGTTTGAGGGCTTCGGGTACCTGATTGCAAAATCAGGAACACCCACAGACACAGCCAAAATCCAGACAGCCAACTTTCAATTGGCTGTCTGGCACTGGGAGCAAATGGTCATTTTTTATGCATCCAAGGTCCTGGATGACAAATCAATATTTTGATGCAAAGTGGGGGGGGGGGGGGGCTTGTCATAGGCATCTTGGTTAAAGGGACCCTCCCACCTTCTAAAATGTTATTAAAACCAGTTAAATTGTGCCCGACTTTATAGATTGGATGCCCAGGAACATGGTTCTGGCATTTATTTTTCATTAAACATCTCAGGCTTCCCATATTCCAAACACAAACTTTCAAATATGTGAGTCACAGCCTAAAATTCTCCCTTCCCCAGGCCACATTACTGTCATAAAGCTGATTCTTTTTAATCTGTAGGCACCACAGCAAAGCTCAGACCAAGTTTTAATTGATTTTCCATGAACAAGCCCATCTAAATCAGAATGACTAAATGAGGTGACGTCACACTAACGGTCGCTCCGTGTTGAAGATAGGACCTTAGCTAAGGTCTTTTTTTGAAGCATCAGATGGAGTTTTCTCCTAAACTATGGAACTGTGGGAGTTCAAGACAATTTTTTCTGCCTTTTTGCCAGATTGTCCTCAACTTGGCTATCCCAACTCAAACCCCATGTTTAGGTGGGAGGTCCCTTTAAGGATCAAAATATTGACTCACTTTTCAGACAGCTTTGTATTTCAGGTAGATGGGTGCCACAGAAGCTTTAGGTTGAAGCAGACTTTTTAGGTTGGGGGGGGGAAATAAACCCACCTACCCCCTAAATTAAGTTTCTCCTCGGATTTCGGCCACTTAATTTCGAAAATGTTGGAAAATACAAAAAAAAACAATCTGGACAAAACAGGTGTCTTTCTTCACCAGTTTTTGCTCAGAAATCCACTGGTGCCATTTATTTTTCCATTCGACCCCTAGAAGTCCCCAAAATTGCATTTGAAAATCTGACGTCATATTTTAGTATGATTTTGGAGTTTAAAACGGGTCATTTGGGGATCAGATATAGAGCTATCGATTTGAAATTTGATGTTTGACACAATAGAGGTGTATAACATATATTCCGATTCCTGAAATTTTTGGATTTTATTGGCATTTTCTTCTTTTTTTTGGGGGGGGGGGGGGACAAAATAAAAAAGTAAAAAATCGGAGGTAGCCATGTTGTAGGGCTAGCAATTCTACATTTACGCTATTTTTCGTTTGCAATTCCATTTCTAAATGTGACTTTGAGAGACTCTCAAACAAATGCCGGATTTCGTCTAAAAATCGAGCAACATGACGTCGGAAATTGGCTTTATCTAAAAAATTGTCAACGAATTAGAAAAAAAAACAAATATCCATCATGTGCGCAATGGTTCCATAAGAAAATCAAGTTTCAACTCGATATCTCCAGGCGTTTGGCCATGGCACACAAAAACCTGGGGGGGGGGGCTTCTCAGCCCCCCCCCCCCGCCAGGAATAGGGTTAACCGCATTGTCTCCTCGAACTGTCTATCTGTCTCCTCGATCCTTATAAATTTATCGTCGTCTCAATCATTGTGGTGAAACAAATGCAGCTGTCGGAGGTATTCTATGTCTACCGTATGTTGGATATGGAACGACACCTAGTATGTACCCTACAGTGCTGAAATGGCCTACATTTTGGCCGAAATTGCGTCTTTCTATCAAAATAGCAAAACACAAACACGCCACTAATAAAATAATTATTCCAAAACCAAGATCCAGTGGTACCGAACAGTTAACTTTGATTTTGAAATCACAAACTTGTTTTCTGACGATACCCTCCCAGTCCGCATCCATCTCCTGCAATCCACAAAGGCTGTCACAAAACTACTTCGTGCATTCTTGCAAAGCGTTTTCCTGTGACAGAAAGGTAAGCTGGCGATCACTGGTTTATATTGGTGAAATGGGTCTTTTTACTCCCACAGCTTGATGAAGCGATGTCGAAGACGTTTGCGGACAGAAGGATCCTGGTGGTGACGAAGAGGCTATCCGTACCCAAGCTGAAGAAGCTCTACCCTGCCCTCTTTCAGGAAATGGAGGTATGTCTCTCGCCCTCTCGCTCTCATTCTCGCTCACTTGGTAGTGGTTGTGCTTATGCTACATCGTGCCACGCTTTGTTTTGTAGTGTTCATGAAATTTATGGTTTTATCATCTCTTAGATGTTGGGAGTGAAACTTCCTACCAGGGTTTTGCTCCACCCACCCATGAGTCGAGTCAAATTTGACTCGACTCGACTCAAATGAGTCGAGTCGGAGTTGAGTCCAGTGTCAGAAAAGTGATCCCTTTCTATTTTTTTCCGAACTTGGAAGTTTTGTTCCGTCAAAAAGTTCTACTGTAAAGAATGACAAGTTTTATTCTGCGAGTATCAAAGTTGATAATGAATCAAAGTCATATAATGAAACAAAGTATGTAGCATGCTAATTGATAGTTATCCACGGGCTACCCATAAACGTTTGCTATTTTCACTTCCTCGTTTCTTAGATGGTGTCGACTTATTTCATTGGTAACTCTAGATTTTATTTCCATGTCATATAATAAAGACGTATTTATTTGTTGCAGATCTGGGCGGAGCTTGCCCGAATCAGGGGCGGTGGATCGACCAAGGAGAATGAGCTGGAGAGGGCGCGTGAGAACCTTTCCAAGGTGCTCACAAAGTTCCAAGTCTGTGAAACGAATGGTACGTTATTGTGAATTTACGGTTAACAATTTCGTGGATCTCGAGTCAAAAGTGCATTTTAGTGCCAGTGTTCTTCTAGTTCGGCTACTTTCCTCTTCCATCGCCGTACTTCAAATTTGAAGTTTGACTCTAGGCTTATACAAAGACTTGCCCAAGAGGTACATACATGGTCGTTTGTCCATTTCCCCTTTTTCTCCCGCACCTATTAACGCAATCAGAGCCCACTGGAAAGACAGTCGGACAAAGTTTATTAACGGATCTACGTTAGCCATATTTGGGGTATCTATAAAGATTGGATGGTGGTTGGTGGCGCTTTGGCTCCCTCATTGCATGATAATGTTCTTACCAGTTTTTAGTTTGTGGTAGGATAATGAAAAATATAAACGAAACGTCGGATTGTCTTTTGAAAAAAACGAGCTATTGTGTGTGCAGTTTGTATTTTACGGCATGACAGTGTTGCATTGGTAACTGACATGCGTGTCTATGTGTGTCTGTGTGTTTTAGAAGCTGCGCTGGAGCATCTCCTCATCGAACTTCGCGAGGAAGACGCTCTTTACGCGGCACCGACGGCCGGAGGTCCAAATGGTTATATGGCGTGATGCCCTCTGGGTCGAGGGAGAGAAGGTAGCTGATTTTGAGATACTGAACAAGATCGACCAGTTCCTCACATGGGGTGCTGCGTTCTCGGTGTTCGCTCAAAAGCCGACCAAGAAAAGCACGCGGTGCTCCGCATACCTGGCAACCGTTATGGTTCTCCAAACAGACGTGCTGAAGCCCCCGAAAGGCCTGGAGCGTATCACTCAGTAAGCGTCAAGCTCAGTAGATTCGTGTCGCCTGACTGTCCATCTGAGGCCCGACTGAGTCGGGTAAGACTTACCTTTTTCCGTCTTGCGGAACTTCTTCACTGTCAGTGGGCCGAGATAGTCGTGTGTTGAAAGGTCGTCTCATGTCGACTCTCGCCTCTGGCAGGTCAGCCATCCTGGGTAGCTGAGGGGTGGCTCTGCGGTTGCGGCAGAACGCACACTTCTGTTGACACACTTCTGTTCACACTTCTGTTGACACGAAATGACAACAGATGTGCTGTCATTTCGGTTTGTGTCGTGTTTTTTTTTTAATAAAGTCGTTCGCCAAAAACAGTTGTTTTCTCAAGGGTGTGCAGTTACACTCATTACGCGGGGAGCCGTGGGACGGGTGTTGGAAAGTACCCGCGGGAGAGGTGTTTAAGCGCAGGTGTAACCCACAACGCAGGTGTAGACAGTAGGTGCTTAAATTCGATGCCGGTGTAGACAGTAGGTGTTGATACTCGATGCGGGTGTAAACAGTGGGCGTTGATACTCGATGGGGGTGTAAGCAGTGGGCGTTGATACTCGATGGGGGTGTAAACAGTGGGTGTTAATACTTAATGCGGGTGTAAACATCGAGCGTTGATACTCGATGCGCGTGTAAACATTGGGTGTTGATACCTGATGCAGGTGTTCGATGACGCCTTGATGAAGGGTTAGTTGACACCTGTTCAGATGCTTAAAAATGGAACCTGATCAACGACACCTGTTCCGCGGGTTTACACTCGGGACAGGTGTAAAAATGTTTTCAGTGCAGCAGGGTGAGAACTTGGGTAATTCAGTTTATTTTCACTTCCTTTCGGTTACCACGCGCTGACATCGGCTGTTGAGTCATGAATGTGAACGGCAGGCGGGGCTGTACTGGCATTCTGAATAGTACAATGCTGTTGCGAATGTCTGATAGATGTGAATAGGAAGAAGTTTCGACATAAGCGTTGGGTATTGAAGGCACTTATGGGTCTAAAACGTCGCCTCCAATGTGAAGCACAAATGTTTCATGTTGAAAACGTGTGCCAACTGCCAACATAACAAATCCTTGTTAATGGTGCGATCAATATATAGATTATCCACGTTTCTCATGACAACCAAACTCTAAACGCTACCGAAATCCAAACAACCTACCACAAAGCCATCCATTTTCAATACCCGAGACCACCGCGTTTGAAGCGCCTTGAAACGTCTCAGCTGTGCCAGAGTTGTTGACAAGGCGGCGATAGTGGCGCGGCTGCGGCAGACGCGGCGCGTGACGCGGTCATTAGTGGCGCAGGTGCACCGTGACCGTCAACGGCCGGGCCAATTCACCGCACCGCGCCGCCCGAGGCAGTATATGGCTGGCGGCCGGCGGGGGAGTGGGACGGAGGGAGGGCGGGGTGGCCACCTGGTGTGGGGCGCGGGGTGGAGGTGGGGGGGGGGGGGGTGAAGGGGGGGGCTGTCAGTGGTTTTAGCAGGTTTAGGGGGTGGGGGGGCTAAAGATATGTAGTGAGGTAGCTCGTTCGGTACTTCGCGCTTCAGTTCGTTGTGCAGGCAATGAGATGTTTGTTATTTATTCATCTATCTGGAAAATTATCTGATTTGGGCTTGTAAGAAAGAGTGCACCGTGACTACAACTCAGAATAACGGTTATTGTCGACCTTCTTCATCTGTCAAAGATTCTTTTTATTTGTAACACATAAATCAGGACTTCAATTTAAACTTCTCTTCCGTACACCAACTTCCTGAAATAAATGGAAGCCCACCGAATAGTTATATGCCACCCATCTTCCATTTCCAAATGGCAGCAAGCATATCCCATCCCCCACCTTCCCTTTCCTGCCACTGCCCTCTTCCCCCTCCCCCAACGATGACGCATGACCTCTTCCAGTGCCCGGGGCAACGAACACCGCTGGGTGCCCCTCAGCCGTGACCCCAACGGGCGTCGTAGGCGCTGAAGCGTCCCGGCTCGAGTCACTGAGCCGGGAGACGGCGCTCGTTAGGTGGAGCTTGAGCTGGGACAAGTACTAGCTTCGAGGTTGATGAGATAGTGGGAGCTTTATTCATTTATTTGCCTGGTAGTGGGGTGTATAGGGCCTTGGGTAGTGACCATCTCCGATCTATGGCCCATGCCTGGGCATTCTTAGGATAAGCATGGTTTTATTTTTAATGTGTGCCTTCGACAGATATCAATTGCGATAGCAGAAGCTGATTCTGAATCTAAAAAGGCTGGTGCTCAATGCTTACTACTGAGTATTGGGTCAGCAATTTGTCAGTCACGTGTCACAAACCCACAAAGTGTGTCGCTTCTGCATTCTTTCCCGCACAATCTTTGACCGGTCTTTGCTCGTGACTTGCTACTGATAAGCTCTTCTCACATACTGATACGATCATCATTTCCGATCGGATCTCTGACGTAGCAGCTGCGTACCTATAATGCGAATTCCAAGCGAAATATTGTAGTGTTCACAGGGAGCAGAACGCAGCTCGATAATCTATCGTCACGATTTGAGATTTTGCAGCCAGTGAGCATGTAAAGGAGAGTTGAGGGGCCACTGTCCACTATCTGGGTGGCCGGGGAAACCTGCTCAAATAAAGTGGGACTTGTCGAACCTCTCAATCCTGATAATTGCTCAGACAGGGTAGCGGAGATGTAGTTAGGCCCTGTAACCACTGTGCAGTTCGGTGTTTTTTTTTTTTAACTGAGTGTCACCTTCGTAAGGATCTGAAAAGCTAGGTAGGCTCCAGGACCACGTATAGTTTTTCAGTTTTTGTCTCTGCTTTGAATCGCTAGTAAGTTTGAAACTCTAAATTGCTTTCTAGTTCACCGTTTGCAGTCATCGATAATACCTAATTTTCGATCGATACTAAGGGCTTTTGGTTATATATTATAAAGGCGTTAGCGCTCCCTCTCAGATGGATAGTTGGTGGGAAAACTAATTTTATCCGCTTCAACCGCTGCAAATTCAAACGCACAAAGACGGTGTCACAGATAGGTATAGTAAGATTTGAACTTATGTCCAATGGATTCTAACTGAACTCAAGTCGAGGTTCGAATGGGGATTTAGTTGTACGGCCTAGTTGTACGGGTAAATTCTCACGGCTCAGGAGATAGTTCTTGGCCTATTGAGGAGTAGACCGTGAGAATATTCTGCAAATTTCTGCTCTGAGGTCTGGTAACCATGGCAACTGACAAGCTAATGGAAGTAAGTACTCCTAGGTATTCTTCAGGGGGGTGACACCATAATGTTGTGCCATAGGCCGATGTTGAAGGCATGAGATTAGCAGGAATGACGTCATCGGCCCATGATGGTTCTGATCAATCAACGCGCAGCTTTTTCGTTGATAGTGATAATGTTACCGCCAGCGAAAACCGGAAAACAAGACAGAATTTGCGCCTTTGCTACAAAAAACAAAGATTTTTTTTTGAAATGTTTCCATAGTAACGATAGTAACGGCTTTGACGCGATGGATAAGAATTTGTAATAGTTTGGATTGGATTAATTATTTTGCATTTGTCTCTATAAGGAAGCTTTGAAATTTCATCTGTTGGCTTTTTGTCTATTCCTATCATGCCTGGTAACTGTGCAGTGGCTACATGTAAATTTGCCCATGGAAAAGTACCAGGTCAGGAGGGGACTTTCTCCTCATTCAGGTTTCCAAAAAACCCAGAAATGAGATCGATCTGGGTGCACCGTTGTGGACGAGCGGACAGTTTTGACCCTGAAAAGTCTAGGATATGTGGTCTGCATTTTACTGAGAGCGATTTAAGCCCAACATATGTCCTGAAGAAAGCTATGATGCCAGGAGAGAAGCTCATGCCTGTTCTTCAGTCGTCTGCTGTCCCATCATTGCACCTGCCTATGATCACAGCGGATGCAAGGTAGGTAAGCTTTTGTTATAGGGAAGTGTTCTCTAATTTGCAAAAGTGTAACTTGAACTCGAACTTGTATGTTCAACCCGTTTTGTTTTTTCACTGCCAAAAATGGCTTCAGTGTGCATCAAACCATAGGGCTGTTCATGGGCACCGCACACTGCTGCATGCGGTGTGTGCGGTGGGTCCAGCAGGCGTGGGGGTAGGGGGTGGGTAGGCGGTTCTGACGTCATGGCTGCGTGCGGTGGACGGTCCGCTGTGGCCGGTCCCGACCGGCCACAGCGATCGCTATGTGCGGTGACGTAGGGACGCAGTAGGGACGCAGTGGGCGGAGCTTGGAGGCTGTGTGCGGTCCGACCCCACACAGGGCCCGTGAACAGCCCTCAGATAAACTACTAACTGTACAGTAAAGCAGGCATCACACTTGTTTCTGCAACCAAGGAGAGGTGCTGTAGGTAAGGTTGTAGGTTGTAGGCAGTAGTTTTTAGGTGGTAGGTTTTTGGTTGTAGGTTGTAGTTAGGGTTAGGTCAGGTCAAGTTGGGTTTGATTTGGTTTGATTAAAAAGCTCTGGGTATAGCGCCTCTCCTTGGTTTAAATAGACAAGTGTGGCGCCTGCTTTACGGCTACCAAGTTCCTGTTACATTGGGAAACTAACTTCTTTAAGCATATGATCCTCAAAGATATTATGAGTATATTTGAGATAGTTGAATGTATTCAGGAAAGATTCACTATACACCTTATTTCAGGATCTCTCTGGGAACCTCATCTCGGGCGGCTCGGCTGCAGCAGAGGGTGACACGCCAGGAGACGCAGCACCTCCTCATGCCTGAGCAGGATGTGGCTGTAGCTGAGGAGCAGACACAGTAAGTACAAGGAGCCAGGGGCTTTTGTACTTGACTTTTTCACTTTACTGAGTGGTGTGTTTTTGTTCCTAATGTTTGGTCGATAGACCAGTCTATAAAAGATATGTATGATCAGATGGGTGAAATAATAAAACATATGTTATATTTTGCTTTATTTATCTATCAAAAATTGCTCTCTCATTTCACCCCACCAAGGGTGGTCCTCTAAGCAAGTGTTTGCTCTTTTTGGATTTATTCTATCATCATTTTGAGCTCTGTTTCTACAGAGTTCAGAGTTTAACTACTACTGTAGTTAAAGGTTCAGAACCATTAAATGGTCATTTTGGTGCCAGAGAGGCATGCTTTGTTGTTTTTCACACAAAAATGTCCATGTATTTTGGAAATGAATTTTCCCCCCAGGGGGGGGGGATATTACAGCATTTAAGCTGCCTGGTATTAAGGAATGAATGCACTCTCCGCTCTTAATTAGTTGTGAGGCGTGAGCTGATTTTTCCACTGGCAAGTGGCACCCCAAACGAAAATCAACTCTAGCACCCTACGTGTATCTCATTTCAGCCCTCCGTCTCATTTCACCCCGTTTTACGG